AAAGGAAGTTCTTGTCAACTATGCTGATTAACTAAAAACCTGAGTATTATAATTTACATCTTTGCATGAATTTGAGGGTCACATTTACTAATACCCGTAAATGATTTTACAGACGCCCGCGGCGTTTATTTAATTTTAGGAGTCCAATGGCCAAGAGGGGGGCGTTTAATAGATGTAGGGAGTTTAAAAGAGGAAAGCGTTTGAAGCTCAGTTAAACTAGTATGCTATGGGCGAAAATTCAGTATCAAGAGAGTTAACTGTAAATAGCAGAATATCTGGTCACTCCAACTATTGATACGTCTTAAGGTCTTCAAGAGATCGTATCCCTCTTCCAAATCTCCGACTTTGATCGATGTCAGAATATTTCGGATCACCATATGTTGTCATTATTAGTTTATCCTTATTTTGAGCTTGCCATTGAACAAGATACATTGTTAAGCAAGAAACTGAACCGGCAATTGAATGATTTTACTCCTTTTTGCCGTTTCCTAGCGTTTCAGAGTAATTGCCGGGGGGGGTGTCTATTAGACAGGGGGCGCTATTAGAGAGGGACGTCTAATATAAACTGCCTGACATCTTAATTATAAGAGGGGCGTTCATTAGACAAAAGGCTTTATTTGAGAGTGGGCGCCCATAACATCATTTACGGTGCGTGTTTCTTATTAGTTCTTTAAATCGTCCTTATTGTAATAATTGCACTGTATTATAACTTCCAATATTTTTGACACTATTTGTAATTAGCCATGATGTCGTATTTTGTAATTATCTTTTTTTTAATAAACGGTAGGAAGAGAGAAAATGTGGACTGTCACATGGCAATAGTGCAGACATCTGTCAATTAAACGATAGAAAGCGTCAGTCACGTGTGTTACCAATGATCTCAATTCATTGTTAATTTGGTTCGCTAAATATTGCTACGTTAATGTATTCCTCACTGCGACAGTTCTTTATTAGAAACTACGACAGGTGTTACAAATTACGGCAAAAGTTGGGGAGCAAATTATTAAAAGAAGTGTTTTTTAGTTCCTGTTATCCAGTTAGAAGCGAGAAGGTAAAATTGCATATCAAAAATTAAAAACTATACATTTATCAGGAGCGTAGCGAGCGTAGCTACCTGTACGCACGCACGGTACGCACGTGCGTACCTGAAAAAGTCGAGGGTGGAAAAAATAATAATAAAATAAGATACGAAAACGAATAAGGAAAAAAAAAGCAAAGGATAAGATAGGTAAAATATAACTATTTTACGTTCACAGTTTGGCTCAATTCATTTAACAACGGATTGTTTAATTTTTAGTTTTAATTACTCCCAAATGTCGGCTTCCTTTGGTGGAAAAATATTTAATAAATATAAATGATATATTTTAAGCCTTAAGTTAGGAAAAGCGATTGACGTGCTTCAGTCCATAAATACGAAAAGAAGATAAAGATTCTTTTCAGTTTACACAGTCACGTCATTTCATACAGCTATTTCGAGAACGGTTGTCGGAAGTGCACGCGACAATCCCAAAAGGTATTGTGGGTGGCTTTGAGGGCACTGTTCTTCAAAGAAATTTGAAAGAATGGTACGGGAGGCCACGGACATATTTTTGCGAGTACTAAAGGAAAGCAACAAAAGTAGGTTCGACAACTTCAGTCGTTACGAACAGTGTATTGATCATATCCCATATTACCTTTCGGGATTGTCGCATGCGCATTTCTTCCGACAACCTTTCTCGAAACAGCTGTATACAGTAAGAACGCTTCGACTTACAGTAATCTCACCTCTTGGGACATTGGGCAGGGGGGTGGCCGGGATAAGGGCATTTGGAGAATTGTGCGTACCTCCGAAAAAATCCTGGTTACGCCCCTGTTCATATGAAATGCAACATGAAATCACCTGATGGTTAAAACGTAACTGTTCTGCTAAGGTGCGTGCTGGCTGATCATGCCCGCGTGCGTGAAAAATATCATTGATACAAAGCAGAGTATTAACAGAGCACATGGAAGCAACTCGAAGAGGATATTACACTCAGCCATATAAAGGGGACAAAACATGGTTAGGAACTGTGTAGCGCTGATAAGTTGATTACAATTAAAATTTGTCTTTGTGTTCTTAGCGCTAAAATGTCTGAAAAGCCAGACGTTTCGGGACTACTGTCCCTTCATTAGTGGAAGATGCCGTTACACTGAACGCGCGTCATTTTATTCAAATGTGGCAACATTTGAAGCACGCGCTGGAAGAGTTCGCTCGAATAAAATTGAAGTCAATGTTTATGCCGCGCGGCTGTAGAGTTTTGCATTTAAAAATTAGGCGGCCCTCCGCTCTACATGAGGAGCCGCGTAAAGTCCCTTTTCTAATTATCTTGAGTGACGGTTGCTATACTCAATTTCCGGTTAGAATTTTACCTCCGACCTCGTGCATGTTAGCAGGGGTCAGATTAGCTGTCATCGGTAGTGATCTTCACAGAGGCGATGAAACAATTCTAAATTTCGCAACTGTCTGTTAATATGGTTAAAACAATACTAGGCGGGGTAAATACATGTAAATAAAAGTCGAGCGCGGTCTTTTCAACTATTCTCCGGATCGGATCAGCCCGATCAAGCCATCATTGTATGGAGTATATGTGGGTTACTTTTTGCCGTTTCCTGGTCGAGAATTTCTGTGTTGATTCGCGATCAAAATCGCTTCCCTTAGAAGCGATTGGTATTTCAAGAACATTTAAACAGATCGGACAGGTTAGGAGAATTCAAGCTTCTCTTCTGAAAACTGGAGATGGCCAGCCTTCCTTCTTCACATTGGTTCAAATGCGAGGCCAATTCAGCCTTAGATCAGTAGGTTTACCTTGCGACACATTAATTCTGGTTTGTATAATGACTTGATTAATCGTAAGACTCCTTGAAGGTAAGCACAGTGTTCGATTTTTTTCCTTTAATTTATTTATTTATGCTTCGAACATATCCGCGCCAAAACCTTTTAAATGCCCGCCAAATTTAATGTGGCGCTCCCGATCGTACAGCTCGTGTTTAGGAAGAAACAGGCCCAGCACAACTTCCACTGGAGGCAATTTTGTCTACAAAAAAGTACCCTAATAAAGAAGTCGAAAAATTTCGTGCGACATTTTCTTGATAAACAAAGGAATGTGTTGAAATTATAGACGTCCGTGTCTTATAATACACATACACACGTAGTTGCCAAATTGCTATATTTCTGATCTTTTTTCAACTGTTTTGCTTGTTGCCGATGTTTAAATGCTTCATCATGATCCAGTGCGATTTATAGTTGTCACTTCATGCTCAGATCTTTGTTTCAATTACTGAGAAAATTATGTTCAGTTAAAACACTCTTTGCACAAAAATAAGGCCAGTAATTATCGCGTAATATTGCGTTGTTGCATGCTTTCTCAACACAGCCGGACGGAGCTCTGCCTGTGAAAATAATCGTTTTCTTAGTATCGAATAGGCGGATATGACTCCCACTGGAAGCAAATTGTGCTACAAAGCCATTAATAAGGGCTATTCCAAGTATAAACCTCATAAAAGCTTTTTATTTTGATCAAAAATGAAATGAAACGCGTTAAAAATATCAGACGCTCGTGTTACCCATACCCCTACCGACCTACCTAAGGTACTTCACAGAGAGCCAGGGTTGAGTGTTAAATTTGCTCGTTATTTGTAAGGCCCTAAATCTGAGTAGCTTTCTTTTTCTTTTAAAAATTTTTACGGAGGAATCGAAATGAGTTTTGGTTGATTGGTTGTGTCCATCGCGGTTCACCCCTATTTGTTTTTTTTTTAATAAAATACGACTGCGCCAACGGTCTCTATTATTTTTCACGAGCAGAGAGCTTTGATATAATTCACTGAAGACAAATTCATGAACATGGTTCAGGGTATTCTGTACGTGCTTTTATGTTGGGTGTGTCGCCTGATTAAAAGCGAGCGATCGGGTGAGTCGCCTTCGCTCAGTGCAAGAAGACTTTGTAAAACGTGTATATTAAATTAATCTTTCTGTAAAATAACGAGGCCTTAGGAAAGTTTATAAGGTAAAATAGTCTTGGAAAACGGTTTGCCTAATATATTTTTCTTTTGTTTGGGACTTGCTAAGATTGTATTGAGTCAACTAGACGCTTAGAATTCGTAATTGAACTTATTCTTTGGGTGATTCAAGACAAAGCTACAGCTGAAGCTAAACAACGACCAATGTTCCGTCTGCACGTGCTCTTCTGGGTGAGTCGCCTGGAAAAGCAAGCGATCGGGTGTGTCGCCTTCGCTTAGTGCAAGGGAACTTGGTTGGTTATGGCTCGTGAAAAATAATAGAGACCGTTCGTGCAATGGTATTTTATTAAAAAACAAATAGGGGGAACCGCAATGGACGCAACCAATCAACCAAAATTCATTTCGATTCCCCCGTAAAATTTTTTTCAAAGAAAAAGAAAGCTACTTAGATTTAGAAATATAAATTTCGGGGGAGGAGAATTAAAAGCGGGACTATTCCCCTTTTTGAGAAAAGGCCGGTGAAGTCTCCTATTTAAATTCTGCTCTCCAGAGAAAGCTACTGTAAAAACTATTTTATAGTTAATGTAAATTCTATCGAATTTAAATCGCTGCGCTTCGTTCATCTTCGGTAAATAAATGCATATGGATTCTGAAGTATCCCCTGTTTGTTGCAAAACTCCTCTACACCGCCACAAGTTTTCCAACTGATGCACTGTTTTGGAGCGATTTTCATTCTATCAGCTTCTATTTTTTAGTTGTGTTCGTCTCATCAGCTTTTTAGTAGTGTCTGCTAAAATGAGCGGTTGAAAGATATGTCGGATAAAGCTTCACAGGAGGCCATGAAAGGAGATTCGCATTTCTGCTCAAGTATGGTTTCAAGCTGTCAACGGTCTATGCTTGGCTGAATTTAAACAATGGCCTTCTGGTCAGATGGGGGACAAATTTTCCCCCATATTTCGGTCGCTAAGGCTTGCGGCTCGCCATGGTCTGTCCCTGGTGTTGTGAAGACCCGCTCGAACAACAGCTACCATCATATTATCAGTTGTGTGACCGGGGGTGGAAAAATGTTTAGCAACGGGTAGGTCAGCTTTCTTTGAGACAGATCTGAGGTGTTCGCAGAACCTGTCCCCAAGCCTACGTCCGGTTTCGCCAACGTACGACAGAGTGCATGCCCGACAAGTTATGATATACACGAGGTTACTTGTCGTGCATGAGAACCTCTGCCGTATGGTCAGAGGTCCACCGGGGGTGTTGATCTGGGAGGCTGAGTTGGTATGGGCACAGGTCTTGCATCGTGGACGATGGCAGGGAAAGGTTCCATTTGGTTCATCCTCAGTATTTGCGCCAGATTGGAGGTTGCTGCTGACCAAGGAATCACGCAGGTTGGTGTCGCGGCGGTATGCACCGAGTACTCGCGAGTTATCAAACAGTTCCTTAGTTTCAGGGTCAGATTTTAAAAGGTCGAAGTTTCTTGATAGGATGTTCTTTACATGGTGGTTGATGGGGTTGTATGTTAAGATTAAGGGGATGACTTCTCTGTTGGATTGTCCGTCGTTAGGTGGTCTTAAGGCTGTATCTCGGGGGATAGTGTCAACGTGTTGAAGGGCTCTATCTACAACCGCTAGTGTATAATCACGTTGCAGGAAGAATGATGCCATTTCTTTGCTTTTGGTCTTGTAGTCGTTCTCATCACTACATATTCGTCTGAGGCGTAGAAACTGGCTGTAGGGGACCGAGTTCTTGCATCGGACGGGATGTGACGGAGTGTATGTGATATATGAGTGTGAGTCGGTTTCTTTGTAGTGGATGGAAGTAGTTAGTCCTTGGGGTGTTGGTTTCAGCAGGAGATCTAGAAAAGGCAGTTGATTGTCACTGATGGCCCAAGTGAATTTAAGGCTTGGATGAAAGTTGTTGATAAATTCATCAAAGTTGTCAAGTTCGTTTTTGCTGCAGGAAGCTGCACCTGCGATGTCGTCAAAATATCGTTTGTAGAGGTCAGGCTTCTTTCCGGGATACTGTTGGAAGATTTGTTATTCGACGTGGCCGACGAACAGACAACCGTAGTTCGGTCCTAGCCTACTGCCCATTGCTACACCACCCGTTTGTTGGAAGTAATCTCCGTTGAAACTAAAGCTGTTAAGTGTAAGGAACAGCTCAGCCAGGCGTACTAAAGTATGTGGAGGTGGTTCCTGTACTGGCCGCTTGTTTAGGAAATGTCGCAGGGCCAAAAGGCCATCGTTGTTGGGTATTACTGTATATAGTGACTTGATGTTCATAGTGAACACGAAGCGATCAGGGCCAGTAGTAGGATAGCGAAAGCACTGTGCAATGTCGAGCATGTGGTTGGTGTCTTTGACGTAGCTGGGTAAACTGCGAACTAAGGGGGAAGTGATCTGGTCGAGGTAAGTTGCAAGGAGTTCAGTGGGGCAGTTGCATGCCGATACGATAGGTCTCCCTGGGTTTCCTGGCTTATGTATCTTGGGAAGGAGGTAAAACCTGGAAGTACGAGGGTGATCTACGATAAGATTGGAAGCTGAGGCAGGGAGTTCACCCTTTGTGATGGCGTCTTCAACAACCGAAACTACTTCCGCTTGATGTTCCATTGTCAGGTCATGATCCACACGTTGGGAAAAATTGGTGTCAGAGAGTTGCCGCTCAGCTTCCTGTATGTAAAGGGCACGATCCCAAACTACAACGGCTCCACCCTTATTGGCGGGTTTGATTGCTATGTCAGTTCGTTGCTTTAGAGCGACGAGGGCGTTTAGTTCCTCGCGAGACAAATTCATTTTGGGGACGCGTTGCTGGAAATTGAGTTGGCCTACTTCTTTGCGACATTTGGTAATGTAATATTCAAAAGCAGCAAATCTTCCTGGGGGTGGGGTCCATGTGGATGTTTTGGGTTGCAAGGGTTGGAAGCTGTCGTTAACCCGGTTGGATGTATGAGGCTGGTCAATATTCTCGTTTTGTTCTTTCTCCGTTTCCTTTATGTGGAAATGAGCTTTCAAGTGAAGATGACGGTAAAAGCTCTCGCAGTCCGCTTTAGCTGTATATTCGTCGCCGCGGGGTCGCGTTGGAATAAAGGAGAGGCCTTTGCTGAGAAGGGATCTCTCGTTCTCAGTGAGAGTGAGATTTTCAGGGATAGTGACCACGAGTTTGCTGTTAGGGGGGTCAGCGACCTCGTTAAATTGCGTTGCTGTGAGTCTCAGTTCAAGCAACTTAACCCCTTTGGCCCCAAGGGGACACCCATTGTTTTGAAATACTGAACACACAAAGGATAACTTTTAGCGCATTAAATCTAACTGTTAGAACCCAGAGACGAAAACTCATAGACAAGTTACTAAACAAACATCTTGTACAATTCACCCAAGATCGCAAATGCTTAATAGACCATTCGCAGGTGTTTGTAATGTCGCTCAAACCAACACAGAAATCGGCGATGACAAGTGAAACAATAAACGCGTTGGTTTTCGTGCGGAGATTTCTTCTGCTGCAAACGAGGAAGATTGTAAATCCATTTCCAGTTATGCTCAGTAATGAAAGAAACCAGCTAAGGCTAAGGCTAATACTGGCTAAGGCTAAGGCTAATACCAATTCAAGTATCCATCTGTTTTAACTTAAAGGAAGTTCTTATCAACTATAGATTACTAGAAATACGTGTATCGCAGAACGTTGCGAGGGTTGGTGGAGAGGCCCATTAAAAGTCAGGGATGGTAGGGCGGGAGAGAACTGGAGTAAATTGTTACTGACTTGGGGGCTTGAGGGAAGGCGAGTCCTACTATTGGAAGGTGAGATGTACTAAATCTTCTTTTAGTTAAAGAAAATTTGAACCCAGCACTCTGGTTCTAAAAAAAATTTTCTGGCATTTACATAGGGTTGCTGTTGTTAGGAGAGGTTAGCCAATGTTGCATACGTCTCGTACCCTCCAACATAATTATGTAATTATAATCAAAAGCAAATGGGTGTGATCCCCCGTGGATAACTGCAGGCTAAATAATATGCAGTTGCATTTGCTTAATAAAAGCTAACTCATGCCATCTGCAATAATAAGTATAAGAATTCTTTTTGAAGTGTGTCAGTCGTATTGAGAGGGATAAAATGGTCGGAGATAATTAATGCTGCAGTGAAAGAAACAAGTTAACGCCATTAATTATAAAGTGAACCACAGAAATGAGAGTGTTTCGGCTTCAAGAAAGTGTAATCTCACATGTGTTGCGTGTTTGTTTCGACTTTCCGACTCATGTTACATGTTATGCGTGCCAGTCTCGACTTAGGACTTAAAGAAAGCGTGTACTGTCGCAATTTGTAACTAGTAATAGTTGACACTACAGCTGCCCCCGTTCTTTATATTGTCGGTCAATAGTATTCTTGCTCGTTGTGTAGCTCTTTGAAATATACCGATTCATAATGAAGATTTTCACACATATTCCACACAATAGGTGATTCCATACAATAGGTGAGATAAATACAGGAAACGCAAGGTTCCATGCACAGTTTCAGCTCGATTTACACAGCTTTGATCAAAACATTTTCAGTTTCGAGAATAGTTTATTCTAAACCATAAGAAAAGGTTTAATTAAAAGTTGAATTATTCACTATTTCTCTTTCCCTTTTTACATTCAGTTCATTTTATTTGCGGGAAAGTAAGCCTTAGAAATTAACAGGACGTTTGATCGATTCACGCTAGCGCATTCTAGTCTTATTTGAAACTTAATAACGGAAGAACATCTGTGAGCAGGGAATAAGTCAGCACAGATTTTGATTGTCGGCGAATTTCTGTAAATGTCCATCAGTCTGCTAGAGATAAGCTAGCCGTTGTTCACTCGTCTTGCTTGTTTGGGGCTGAGTTTTATTCCGGTCAAAGAGAGAGAAAGATTGTCTGGTAAGGTTTCCAATATAAATGTGATCAAAGATTTGTGAACTCGTGTCTGGCAAACTCTCCAAGCCTTTAATAGGGTATCATTTTTTACCTTGTCGGCCTTGTGTCTTTGGTTTGATCCTTAGATGAGGTAACTCAAATAGTAATGGATGGTTTATTCCACCCCTTCCTTTCTTTTGTGGAAAAACGGTAGACCTGAAAAAGAATTGCAAGGTGTTAATTACGAGTTGTATATGCGTACTGAAGGGAATTTTTTTACTATCCCCACGGTATTTCCTTTAGAGGACTCCATATAGAAAAAATTATTTTAAGATGGAATGAGTAATCCTTTTGTTCCTGTATGGGACCAAATCAAGTGAGAATAATAGAGCAAATGGCCAGCCGGCTCAGTGTAAGACCCTAAGTAAGTTTTATAAAAACAGATACATGCAAGGTGATTGGCCAGCGACTAATTGGATTTTGTGTTTATGACATGCTTCTGTTGTGGTTCGACAGTTTGCCACTGGTGACGTTTTTTTTTTTATTTGCAGTAAACGTTTTGAATCTTGAGGCCTCGTTTGATTAAGTTGGCCCAAAATATGGAAGCCACTATTACTTCTTTAAGATTGCGCGTTAGACAAGGACGGTTCACCACGTGTTGTGTCGACCTGTTATAAGATCTAGCAGGAAAGCTTGAACTTTCCTGGTGTCCTTATTCGAATGACGTAGGATGAATGTTAAGATTTGTGGAAATTAAATGCTTTTTAATAATGGCTCGTTTGTGTCTAGTGTGTCTAGATCCTGTACTCTGACAATGCTCTGTCCAGAGGCACATCCCCGTATTGGCCATATAAGGAAGTACACCCGTCGGGTAACCATTGAATGCAAAACACCTAGTACAATAGCAAGGTTTAAGAATACAGCATTTCGTAAGTCACATAACTAATCAACATTAATTTTAAAAAAATGTTTAGGACTGAGAATAAAGTTAAATGGTTTGAATGAACGGAGATGTTACGTGCTAGCAGACGTCATCATCTTTGTTTATGAAGTACCATGCATATTTTGACATTATATTAATGTTGACGAAGTAAGTCGAATCACTCTCAAATTATTATTACAAAGTGCGATGGAATTAATACAATTTGCGACAGCTTAGTTTATTACAAAGTGTGATGGACTGTTATTACAAATTGCGACAGCTTTTTTATTACAAAGTGCGACACGGTCTATTACAAAGCGCGAGGATTATTACAAATTGCGACAGTAAAAACGTGTTATGTTACATGTGCAGCCGATGGACTCCATCGGACGACTTTCCACCCCTTCTCAAACTATTGCAATTGTTTACACTTCCGGTTTCATCTTATGGCTAGACTTCCGGTAATTCAAGTGGACTCGACTGTACTTCCGGTTTCATTTTTCGAACAGACTCCATGGGACTCCAGGCTTTGCCCACTGGAATCTAGTCGAGAGTATTGGACATGTGTAGCAGTTGCTACTACTTAACTCAAAAGCTCAACAATGAGGGTCCCCACTGTAGGGTTCTTCAATCCTGTAATCCCGACCCAAAATTTCGTGTAATCCCGTAGCCCCGAGGGTTATTTTCGGCATTCTAACTCTCACGCATACTTTCAATCCCAAATCTTGTCCGATTTTGCTTTAAAATCCCGAATCCCGAGCAAATAAGGGAAATCCCGGATCCCGAAAAACCTATCAGAGACCCTCAACAGTGATCTTACCCGATTCATGCAGAGTATTTCTTTTTTAACAGTGCGCCAAAAGTGAAACAAAGGCTCTACTAGGAGGATGTGGACATAAATTTGAATTATACTCTTACGATGTCATACTAAAAAGTTCCATGTGATGTGACTTTTGCCTCCCTCATGACTGGGTGAATCTTAATAGTCCTTTCCCTAGTATTTTAAATTCTCTTAGCGTACAAATGTTCTTGTTTTCTTTCCTCATACGCCATTTTCCAAATTTCAATTCGCTTTCAGTCCAAGAGTCACAGATTTATCAGTCTCTTCTCAAGCCTTTCACCGTCTTAAAAGACCTACATCCTACAACAACGAGTTACGCGTACGCTCGTAAAATGGTAGGCTTTTGTTAACATTACTAATATTTTCTTTAATTAAAACACAGCTCCAAGAAGTCTTTTAAACTCTTTCTTTATGTCTCTTTTGAAAAAGGCATAAACCAGAGGGTTAATAACTGAGTTTAAAACCAAGAAAGGAATCTTGTAGTTTTCATCATTACATGAGGTGGTGTGGAATAGTGTAAAACTGCAACGCAGATACATCCCATAGCAAACAAGAAACACTCCTATGACAAGACCCATCATTATTACTGCAGACCTAGGCCTCTCGTGATGGATTTTAAACGACATCTGATGGTTAAAACGTAACTGCTTTGTTACGATGTGTGCTGACCGACCTTGCCTGCGTAGGTGAAATATCGTTGATACAAAACAGAGTATTAAGACAACACTCGGTAGGAACTCGAAGAAAATGATATTCAGCCAAATACAAGCGGGAGCAGGAATTGTTTTGAAATAAAACGTATACGTATAAAGGGTAACTTTTAGCACATTAAAACTAACTGGTAGAACCCAAGAGAAGGAAATAGCTTGAGTAATTCGAGGGCGAGTCATAAAAGTAATGTATTTTAGAGGATGGATGATGGCAATAAAACGATCCAGTACTAAGCTGCATAAGTTTACAGCAGACGTGTTACTAAACAGCAACCGTATGTATGTGATCCATAATTGAGACCTGTGGCAGGTGTTTGTAATAATGTCGCTGCAGAAGAACATTGAAGGAATAACGCTCAAACCGACACAGAAATCCGCAACGGCAAGTGAAACTATAAACGCGTTGGTTTTGGTGCGGAGATTTCGTCTACTGCAAACGAGGAAGATTGTAAATCCATTTTCAATGATAGCCAGAAATGAAAGAACCCAGCCAAGAATCTAAAACCAGGTCTCCATCTTAACCGCCAAAGGAAGTTCTGGTCAATTTTAATAACTATTATAACTTACATCTTTGCATAAATTTCAGGGTCACATTTATTAAACTATACCTGTAAATAATGAAGGATGAGGGGCGGTCACTAGACAAAAGGCTTTATTTGAGAGTGGGCGTCTGTAAGATCATTTACGTTACGTGTTCCAATTAGTTCTTTAAATCGTCCTTATAAAAAAAAGAAGTAAGAACCTCTCCTGACTTGATGTCCCTTGGAAAATACTTATCCTTTAATGGACACTTTTAGTAATTTACGAAGGAAACTTGCGTTTTAAGGCTAGTGTTTGTTGACAAAGTTTTCCGTTTTTAGGTATTGATTAATTAAAGGTAGACTCTGCACAAACCCACAGCACGCGCAATTCAAAAAGACGTTTTGTACAAAAAGAGGGAAAATATGGCGCCTTTTGAAAACGAACTACCGCAATTATGAATGTTTTTAATGACACTCGCTTAGATTAATTTTTACCTCTTTGATACATTTTACAAAGAGATTTGAACGTGTAAATAAATCAGGGGGTGTTTTCATTGAGAAAACTCGCACCGGCGCGAGTTTCATACCGGGATGACTTTTTATTTAAAATCGCGTTTACATTATGACTAGGTCATTTCATATCTCGTTATTTGAAGGTACACTTCATATTGATAAAATACACGTAAGACTCAAAATCACAAACATTACGCATGCGCTACCCGTTCCAGTCTACCGGCAGACCAATTTCACACCGAAACGTGCGGTCATTTCGCTTTTACATGATACCGTTGCTCGATTTCGTACCGGAGTGAAATTCTCGTCCCGGTACAACAACCGGGGTGAACTCACGCCGGAGTGACTCGCGCCGGCATGAAATTTTGTTATATCGATGTTAGATATAGAATAATAATAATAATAATAATAATAATAATAATAATGATAATAATAATAAAAACCTGTCAGTTGCCACACATATTCAATATTATAACATAACAAAAGTAAATTGCGCGCTCTGATTGGTCAGTTAGCCACTACTATTTGCCCGTGGGTGAACGCCATGAAACTGAGCTAACGCGGTAAAATTTTGGCAAATTCAACAAATCTCCTCTCCTGACGGTAAAATACACCGATGAAACTAAATTCACAGATGAAAAGTGGAAGTTGAAGAAAATACTAAGGGACCGGTCATAAAGTACAGGGGGGGGTCTATGAAAATTTTTTTTTTGAGTACTGGTTTTCAGTGGCCCACCCCCGAGTTATTTGACAAAATTGGGGCGGCCCACCCTTGGAGTGGCACAGAAAAAACTAGTGACCCACCCCCCAACCAAAACCAGTAACGCTGATGTGGATAGGTACATTAGGTTATATTGGCTCCAAAAAATCTTCGAGATCGAAATGTTGTAACACGTCGTCCCACTCTTGAACAGAATTCATCTTCTATGCCATCATCCACTTCTTGTTCATCGTCATCATCGTCTTCCTCTTCTTCGCTGGAACTTCCAATTACATGGAGAACTACATCGTAGTTTTTGCTGCTGCCATCATACTCTTTGTCGCCACAGTCAATGTTGTCATCACCATCAGTATCATCTGCGTGAACACTATCATAGTCATGATCGTCATCGTCCCCTGTCTCCTACCCGTGTTCGCCATCATGAAAATCTACATTTTCTTCCACGTTAACCTTTCTCGCAGCTTGTTCAATTGTTGGTTTGTCAAGCTGGGCTTTGGCTAAACAAGCTGGAATTAATACTAGCTTCTCGTTTTTCTTCATTTTCTTATTTCCCATTTGGTGCTCTTCCAGAAAGAGATTCAGAGCTGATACTTTCAGCTTTTTCAGTGTCCCCGCCTTGAACATATCTTCCCGGTTGTAATCAGCGTACTTCTTTTGGGAGTCAGTTTCTCTCTGACGTTTTCTATCATCTTTTCGTTTCGATTTCTTCACTTCAAGATACTGGAGGTGCTCGAGGTACTTTCGCACATGTAATTCCTGAACAGCAAAGGTTTTGGAAAACTCAACAATTGAGTCACTGTCTTCCAGGGTTAGTTTTCTTTCTTTTACATGCCTTTTAATCTGAGCCCTTGGTTGATAATCATCTATCTCTCTGGAATGTCCCTCTGGTGAAGTGATCGGAGTTTCGTCAAATGATAAGTATTTCAGATCTGGTAGAGCGGTTTCATCAGGTCAGTTGGACGTGGTGCCCGGTACACTGAATCTCTGGAAGGAGGGAATTTGGTGCAAAACTCACACAGGACTCCACTGTTTTGTTGGCAATCACCTTTGATATGTTCTAAGTATAGTTCTCCGACGTGAACGTGCTGTTCGATGAAGGCATTGATTTTCTTAAAGTACGCATGGCCTGGTATGTCGTTTTGTTTAGATTCTGCTGTTGATACAAACTGCTTTAGTTGTTCAGTATTGAAAAAAAATTGGTCTTCTTTTTTAGGTGTAACGAAGGAGTGCATAAAGTCTCCAGCTGGACCTGGCTCCCCTTGTATTCGTTCAGTCACATCTTTTGCAACACACCATCCATTTCGTTCCATTGCATTTTCTTCAAGTTTGTTTAATTCATCAATGGAAAGGTTTCTGACTTCTTCGTTGTCCAGACTGTCCAGAGCTTCATGGTACTTCCACTTTAAAGCCCCTCCATCAACAATAGCCTCTCCAATACAGGCATTCGATCGCTCTGCTTCATTCTGTCCACTGTCGTCACGTGCTCTGTGAATGCGGTTTAAGCGATCAAAATTGAGGATTCGTGCAACTTCTGCATCTCTGAATCTGACTTCAATATTGCTGCAGCCAACACCAGGTCCAGTATCAGTGGCAAACAGTACATCTCTCTTTGCTTTAGGTAAATTAAGTCCTGCAATGTGCTGCTGAATCTTTCTTACTTTGTCTAGCAAGTAAACATAAATCTCCCACAAATTTTCCTTGGTGGAACCCCTGATGCCTTGTCCCCTTTCTTCTAAAGTGTCAAGAACAACTTTCACAGTGTCTTTTGCCTCATTTCCTAGTGCGACATCTTCTCCTTCAATTCCAATCTTGTCTTCCTCCCATCTCAGTTGTGCATTTTTTAACTGTCGTTCCAACCACGACAGACGGGATAACTCATACGCACGAAATTTGCAATTTAAGTTGTTTGTACATGCCATGACATCTTCGTACATGGTGGTATCCTCGAAGTAGAATGTAAAGTCATGAACTTGGGTGCAAAATCTTCGAAGCTGAATGCTACAAGTTCTGTACTGGTCTCCTTGAACTTCGAAAAGTTGTGGAAGTTCTCTTCGTATAAACATAGTATCTGATGCCCACACGCTACCAGAACTTCCTATGTAGTGCTTTGGTCGGTTTGTAACAACAGTCTGGTCAAGATGATTCACGACATGTGTATTGCCATCAATAATTTCCTTGTGTCCAACCATGAAGCGAAATGAGGGTGGAGTAACATGAACTTGTGGGATGCTAAAATCGTGCTGAGGCAGCTTTCTTTGTTTTTCTTCATCGGCAACGTCGTAAATTCTCCCAGTTTTGACATCTCTCATTCCAACATCCGTTTCAGGACGAAGATAGGCTTTGTCGTCCACGGAAATGACTAGGCCGTCTTTTTCTCCTTCTTTCTCAAATATGCTGAGCTTGGCATTCTTCACGTACTTTCGTTGATGGTGGGTACACTCATTTGATACTTTTTCTGTTTTTGGTGGTTTCTTGGAGCAGAACAGCCACTTCCCTAGATGCGCCTTGGCAGCTCGGGATGATTTGTTTCTTGGTTTCCCTCTGTTCACTACCGTGGTAGCACTTTTGATCAACTTTTTCCCTTTCCTGTATAAATGATAGTTTGCAATCGAAAGGAAATTTTTCTTCTTTACACGTTTGTTGGTGTAAAGCACAGAATCATGCCGTCTTCCATGAGCTGTGCTTTTATCCTCGATGGCTCTTTTAATGTACTCCTCATCATCGCTGTCCAACAGTCGGGGTGCACCTGAACAGATCTTGCGTCTTTTTATTCGGTTCTCTTCGATAAGCTGTGTGGCCAATTTTCGTTTGCATTGCTGGAATTGTTTCTTGCTAGATCTTTCTTGTTTGGTAATGCGGGCTGCACGTTCTGTTAACATATCCTTTTCACTTTCTAAATCTTCTGTTCTAAACTTGGGCAACAGGTCCCCAAGTTTAGCAACTTTCTCATCTATTTGATGTATCTTCTCCTCAATGACTTCTTTTTTGTGCTTAAGTCGCAGTTCAAGCATGTCTTCTGCTGCAACCAGAGCATTTTGGCATTACTCAGCTGCTTGACGGGTATTCTTTAGAAAGTGTACTGCTCTATCAGCTTTGATCCCTAAAACTTCTACTTCTTTACGGCTTCGCGTTGCAAATATTATTGCTTTTAGCGTATTTCTGTCATATTCTGTATCCATGGACTTTATTATGTTTGTTAAGCTTGCACAAGTGAGTTTATATCTCTCATTGTGTTCTGAATCTGCTGCACTATTATCCAGTTCTTGAAGCAGCCAAGCAATGTCTGTTAAATCGTTTTCCAATATGACATATCTGGAAAATGAAATTATTATACCATGTAAACATTACAAGGCGAATGTTCTCCAACATTTTAGTTTTAAGACTACAGAAGAAATATATTAAAGGAATAATTTAGTTTCTGTATGTAAAATAAAAAAAGAATTATTTGTGCACACCTGACTTCTGTCACTTTTAAATTTTGTATTAATTTTTTTTTTTTACTTTCTTCACCCAGTACTGCTTTTGGGTTTTTAGAAATGGTTGCATATCAAATAAATAAACTGCCTGAACTGAAAAGAAACCAGGAGGACAATTATCTGCTTTATGTATATTAAAACGACCCACATAATGTGTCAAGGACAATTTTTCTATATTTTTAATCATTTAATAGGACAAGAGTTCACAGCAATTTATCTAAAATTCAAATCAATAAAATGTTATATTTTAATGTAACAGCAGTATTTTCCTACCTAGTGCATTGAATAGTAGCCACGCATACTCGAAGACCATACTCTTTATGTAAACGGTAATTTCTGAATTCTTGCTTGGTCACTTGTTTATCAAAGAAGCTGATAAAAAGTCCATAGGCGTCTTCAAACTGCAGAAATCCTCTACCTCGTATGTCACAGAACGAACTCTCTGCCAGCAGTTGCCGCAGAATAAAAGGTAATGCTTCTAATATTTGAACTTTGAGCTTGGCTTTTTGTCTTGTGTAAACGTTGATTAAGCCCATGAGTTTTTCTTCATTCTCCGAAACTTTACACGTTTGGAGTGATTTTTTTAGACCAGATAAAGGTGAAAACAGTTCGTCTTGCTCTGAACATTCCGTTTTTTGAACGCAAAAAGCATTTGTATTCTCCGTATGGGCAAGAGAGGAAATTTTCTCCTTGTCGCTTTTGGCCGCCATACTTGTTGCTTTGCATTCATGAAGTACTACTCAGAAATTGTGCCCCAGGCCTCCTTAATCGGAGGAGCAAAATGGCTGCTTCCCTGCCTTCCAACGATGACAAAATTGCGAAGTTCCTTTCCTTAGCAGACTTGAGTTCGTCTGAGGTGGTTTTCCAGGCGGAAGGAGTTACTAAAATAGGACATTTTATGGATGTAACAAAAGAAGATCTGGTCAGAATCGGTGAGGGAAGTTGCATCTGTTTGTTTTCGTGTGCACGTGAAATCTTTATAGACATTAAAATTCTGAATGTCAACAGGTCGTCGTGAAATACAAATTCGCAGATTTCAGAGGCTTTGGGACTCCATGAAAGCTACTCCTTGTGCAGCTTATGTATTGGAAGGCTCTGACGAGATTGCAACGTTCCTTAAATTAGCAGACTTGAATGTATTTGAGGCTGCTTTTCGCAATGAGGGTGTTACAAAGATAAGCCACATAGTAGATGTAACCGCAGAAGATTTAGAGAAAATAGGTATTTTTTACAAGTTTTATGTGTATCAGTCAGTCAAATGAAAGCAACTATTGTGCACTGACACAAGCCACTAGAATCATTAAGTTTTTCTTCTATAATTTATACAGGTATGTTTGATAATGAAACTTTTAAGCTTTAATATATATTATAAAAAGTGATTTATAGAAGTCATTCGTAAGGACAATCTGTATAAAATTGATTTTTCAACACAAAAAAGATACAAAACACACCAAAGTTTTTTTATATTTAATGAAATCTTTAATAGATTTAAATACTAACGTAATTCTACATTTTGGTATACGACTCACTGAAATCCAGGCTTAACGGTTCTCTAGATTGTGGTCAAACGGAAACCTGGCCAGCCCTTCAAGTGTCAGTGGCTTGAAATTGTCAGGCTCAGTAAAGAAACCCTCTACAACACCTTGGAAAGATAAGAAGTTTGGCTTTATTCCAAATCCCAAGTCGGAACGAGCTAAATTTCTTAATGAAGATGTTTTACCCTTTTTTTATGAATGCCAAAGGAAGCGGTCAAGAAATGCACTAGATTTTGTGAAAAAATTCCATTCCGAAGGCAGACGCCAGTATGACCTTCACTGCCAGCTGTCAGCTATATCATTGCAAGCAGCAATCCCAGAAGGCGTTTTAGAAGAGGAACCCTTAAAGCCTACTGACCGCCAAGCAATTAATTACAAGGTTAAAAAACTTCAGGAGTTGAAAGAGAAATCTGAGAGGCTGAAGAGTAGCATACAGAAAGAGAATGCCCAGCGGTTCACTAAAAAGTCTGGGAAAATCATCAGTGGGCAAGAGTGTGGGCAACGCTTCAATGAAAAATGCTTGGGAATGAGTGCAGAATTGCAAAGTAACATTGACCAGACTTTGATGAGGACACAGGCCCAAAAAGAAAAACACAAGAGAATGTATCCTTTTGCAAAAGAAACATCCGTCTCGAAAAAGAGAAGAGTGAAAGAAAATAAAGCAAAAGCTAGGAAGCGACGCCGTGAAAGAGCAGAGAAAAATTGCGAGAGAGTGTTCTCCGCAATCAGTCACTCATCATCGATCTTATGGTGAAGTTATAACCTCCGATCATTGTAGTGTGATAGGCCTAAACACCTTAACAAAGAGAGATAGTAGGTGGTTAAAACTATTCATAAGTAAAGGTAAATTTACAGTGGATGCTATTGAAACAATCAGAGCAAACGTGTCACCAGTTGTATTGAGTGCTATAGATGATAGTGATGATGATGATGATGATGATGATGATGATGATGATGATGATGATGATGATGATAATGAGAAGGGGAAGGAGGACGAGGAGGAGGAGGATGGTAATGCTTCTGAGGGTGATGGTAATGGTGAAGATGACTAAGGATGACAAGAAGAAGATATTAAAAAATATGTTAACATAAGTTAGGTTTATGAACACACAGTAAAGCTTTGTGCTAGATTTTATACTATAAAATATTTCCCGCGTGACTACTCTTCAGATTTAAAGACTGTACATAAAAAGAAACAAAATATTTAATATGTGAATTCCTGTTGTCATATAAAGTTGAATTAATGTGGAAAATTAGATTTATTATCAAAAACAAAAGATTTTACTAGCGTTTGTACGTAGTGATATTTGAATAATTTAACATGACCCACCCCTAATGCAGTGCATTATTTTTCCTGACCCACCCTTTTTAACGTGTTAAAAAATAGTGACCCACCCCAATTTTTCATAGCCCACCACCCCTCCCCTCCCCCCTGTACTTTATGACCGGTCCCTAAGCTGTCGTTTTGAAGGAAAAAAGACAAAAGATCAAGCGACAAATTTGCCCTGGATGAATTAATCACTGTTTTCCTCGCTGCTAGAATCGGTTGAAGGAAAATCGAGCAAGCGAAGATTTAAGGTACGTTTTGTGTGTTTTTTGTAGAAGAGAAGATCTGTTTGAAATGTAAATTTATCAATTACCATTGCCCCTCGGCGGTTATTGACTTTTTGGTCAAGCTGATGCTAAATTCAAGCAAATATTTCAGGAAACACGCTCAAATTCGAGACAGCTTTGTTGTGAAGTTTTCATCGCATCGATTAAAAATTTTAGTTGAGCTTAAACGGGCACATTACGCTGGAATAAGCAAATTTCATTTGAGTACAGAAACATTTGGGTTTTCAAATAAATTTGTCAAAAAATAACTTCTGTGTGTATTATTTTGTTCCTCAGTGTTCATTCATAACAGTCGTTCAGAGAACGGTCGAAAAACAACAGCTTCAGCGCTGGCTGTGTGTCGGCAAATTTCAGTTGCAACTTTGACTTTCATAGCTGGATTTCCCCAGGCAGATTTCGATACAAAGCTAGTTAATTTCTTTTTAAAATTAGTGTTACCTGTTATTCTAAAGGAATTACAGTCAAATTGTCTCATTTCTACCTTACGTTTATTTCAAAAATTGTCACATAAATGGCATTATTTAGTTTTAGCTTATTTTTTAGAGTCTTTTATAGTTGATGTTTATAGTTGCAGCTATAGTTTTCCCTCAAAGTTTTTACCCTAATATTAAGAGCAAGTAGACAGATGCCATTCAGAATAACAACGGAAAACGTTTTGCAATTTACCTGAAGACGGAGAACGGTTGATTCAGCGAAAGAAAAACTCAAAGGTAAGTTTTTGAAAAACATAGAACATGATTTGTTTACGCGCGGGCAGATGGCAGCATACATGAACTCGTACCGATGACTCAACCGAAGGCAAATGGAAAATAATGTTTTTCTCTTTTGATTATATTATAAAAGAAATGGTAAACGTTGCAGCTGTACAACCATGGAGTTATGGATGCACTTGGGAGGTTTGCTAAGCACTCAAGAAGCTAGAGTCGCACTCGGCTATCGCCTCGCCACTCTTACGCTTCTTTCGTGCTTAGCAACCTCCCGCGTGCATCCATAACTCCATGGTTGCACGCTGCACGTTTACCATTTCTTAATTGTTTGCCACAATTTTCAATGCGATATTGTTCAAAAAGCTTACGTAAAAATTCCTCTAAATTAGGTTTCATTACAATGTTCTTGCAAGTATACAAGTATTTCTTTTGCAGTAAAACCAATAGAAGAAGTTTGCGTCCACGGATGATGGTGATTAAACAATCCCTTAAAAGATTTAAATCGTCCCTGTATTTGCCGAGGAACAAACGAATGAAGACGGGGTAGACGGGCATACTGGTTAGTTTATTTTTCAGTAAAGTATCAATAATTTTAATGAATGAATAATAAAACAATTGTTGAATTCGATCGATAAAAATTTTGACCAATTCCGGGCTGCCATTTACCAATCCCAAGAATCTGTCAACGATGAACATCAATGACACAGTTTTTAGTTTAATTCACATCATTTAGGGTACAATCCATATTATTTCGATTACTTGTTCTATCGTTAAATGTTTTTATGTTAGTATTTGTTTATTTTCCCTAAGGGCACACTTAATTTGGAGCCTCGCTCTGTTGCGTGTCCCGCACCTTCGTCTCTTGTTTTTGTGACTTGTTCAAATGTATTTCTTTTTCTAGTCTCATTTTAGCATTGCAATCTTGGTGAAAGCGATTAAATAAATAAATAAATAAATAGCCGCAGCAATATTAAAAGCAAGAAAGAGATGAAGTAAACAAGACGCTGCAAGTAGCGTATACTCGGGTAGGGTACTGAGAGTTACCTAATAAGTAATTCAGTTCTTTCCTTTGTGAGTGCAAACAAAACACCGGCGGTTGAGATAAATCATGCAGTCTAGCAGTTGACCTCAATCCTATATATCTGCGGATTATAGATTATAACCCTTTCCGAGTTATTTGTTTGTTCGCGTTCGAGAAGAGAAGGAGAAAATACCTCATGCATTCTTTTAACGAGAAGCCATCCACTATTAGTGTCAGCCAAGACGAAACAAGTTCTGCAACAGAATATTAATTATTTTTTAGCAAAACAACGGCTCTGTTCTGAGAAGTTTTTTTGAAATAGAAAAATAGCTAGCGTACATCTACCATCTGGAGCTTCATTTCCATTATTAACGGCCCTGGATATAAACCCGAAAAACAAAAAGTAACGTGGGAGGAGTTTTTTCATCTCCAGCATCTGTAGTTTCGTTCTATTTGAGCCGCTCATACACCTTTGCAAAAATGAGAAACCTGTGGAAAAAATCGCTAACACGTCTTCACACAAGGAAAATAATAATTAGGCATCGGACGTTCATCTGATGCACTCTTATGCTCTGCCTTGAGAGAGTAGGCCTGCAGGACATTTATCAGAGATCGTTGATTTTTTGTGCGTGGATTTGCCGTTATTGCGCAGTTTGTGAAGGGATTGCTGGTAGATAAACTGACTCTCTGTACCCCATTTACAACCAGTGGCGAATTGTATTCGTCGATAAAGGTCATCATAGTGGACGACACGGGCTAGCGGGTAAATCTTGGCCAGCTCTGAGACTTTGGTGCTATATGATATGTAATTCATAATGTCTGACGTAGTTGACAAGGCACCTTCTTTGACAAATTTGCTGCTGACCATTGTGGAAAGGTGATGTTGTTGAACGGGGGCTTTTTCTCATGGCTAGTCTTTAATATGGTTTGAGTGCCACCAGAAGCGCCAAGCACGGTCTCCCGGTCCTCTTCCAGAACCACTGGGAGGGAACTGACAAAATCTGGAATTAGCAGGGGACGTTTATCTCTGGGGGTGGTGCTGGGTTCCAGTGGTTTTTGCGCTGGATCCGCCAATTCGTCAGAAAGACCAAGAAGAATTGGGTCCCCTAGTGACTCTTCTAAGGCTTTAAGCTCCTCCTGAACCGCTGTGTCAGATTGCAACGCAGTTAGAGTGGGTACAGTCGCTCTTTGGGTTGTACACTGGCCTTGATTTTGTGTGTTGACGTTTGCCGGGTTTGGGGCGGCCATCTTGGATTGACTTTCGTGTGCCAGCGCGGACTTAACCCGAGCAAGCTCAATTTTGGCTCGTGTCAGTTCAAGTTCCAACTTCGAGTTATCATTCTGAAGCTTGCTGATACTGGCGGCAGACTGCTTTTCGTCTTCGGGTGTAAAGGTGGGGGTTTGAAGTTTGTTGGCACTTGCAGACTTTCTATCTGCTTCGGGTGTTAAGCTTTCAAGCAGAGACTCTACTTGGTTCAATTCATCTCTAATCGCACGTGTCTGAAGGCTCTCTGTGGGATCTAATTCTAAAAGGAAATCCTGCAAATGCTGGGGAGGTTTCTTCTCTCTCGTACTCCTTCTAAGCTTCATAATTCAGAGAGCAGAAAGCCAGCAAAATCAAGCACATGTTAAGAGTTCTAGCAGCGTTCTGACAGTTCTAAAGCGCAGACTCCGGTAAACTAGTAGCCAGGCTTCCCTCCTCCCCAGAGTTAAATGTAAATAAAATGAATATTATTACTACGATAAAACCGGTGAAAGAGTTTTTGATTACAAGTGCAAATTAAGCTTAAGTCTTGCGTTACTTTATTTAGTTGATTTGTTCATAAATAAGCTTAAAACTAAATTTAATAATCTTTTTCACAGAATTAGTTTAAATACAAACAGAATTCACAACTCCTTTTGAAGAAACTTCCCCGCAAGAGCTAAACAAACGCCTTCAAAAGTTTTATTTGTCGCTAAGAAAAAGCGACGACCGCTGCCGTTCGGTCATCGCGCGCCAAAATTGTAATCGTTGGCAACAGTAAATGAGTTAAAAATCATCATTTTGTGCTCAATTATGTCACTGTTTTAGTATATACTAAAACAATTATTCACCTCCACTTCGGTGAATAATTGTTATATATTTCAAGTCTATGACAAATGATCGTGAGATTTCTTTAGGATGAACTTAACTCGTTGAAGATCGATCCAGTTAAGCAATTAAATCGAACGTTTTCTCGCTAAAATGAGATACAACATGTGACTGTAACTAGCGTTTTTTTCTGACAGCCCCCTTAAAGGACAATCGGTTAGTTAACGTACATTACGGCATGTCCCCTTGGTGGGTTCCGCTGTGTCTTCCCCTTTGTTTGATTCGGTCAAGGTTAATTCCTATTGATATTCATTCAAAACATTTCTCGCTGCAGAAAAAGGCACTGAAAAAACGATAATGAAGATGGAAACTTAAGAGGCCCTGCCAGGGAGGCGTCGCATGTCGCTCGTCTGAAATTTTAAAACGTCTCGTGTCGGTGTTTATAAATGCTTCATGTCGCTGTCGAAAATTGAACGAAGATTCTTTGTCTTTTTCGGAATTTTAGAAAGGGGGATAGTGATGCGTTGTGAAGAAACCATTACAGTTCTGCACTGTTTCTCAGTTAACATGTCGCGTCTATACATCGCCATTCACAATTGAGTGATCCACGTTCAACATCTTTAAGACTAAAGGTGGATTTCCACCACCACGTAATTTTTCCGTGCGTGCGCACGTAAATTTTACGCTCGTAAAAAGAAATAGAGGCTATGTATGAAAGGCTACGCATAACCGTAAAAGTTGAACCACATTGCCTCTATTTTATTTACGTGCATAAAATTTACAAGCGTTCGCATGGAAAAATTACGCGTCACTGGAAATCAACCCTGACTGACCTGATCAATCGTGAAGGCACGGTGGTCTACTCTCTGAGAGCGGTTGGAAGGTCGGTGGTTAGGTTACTTGCTTCCTGGTCTCTCCACCGTCGTCACCGCCGTGTTTCGCTATAACAGACTGCGTGTTTAACTTAATCTCGTGTCTATTTGTGTTTCTAGAGCAGGAGGAAAAATACCTGATGCTTTCTTTTAACGAGAAGTCAGCCGCAATTTGATTTAAATACACTAAGACAGAAATCGGATTTTTGCGTACTGTTATGGGTCTTTCTCCTTTCGTAACCCTTTAAGTCCCAATGGTGACCAACATCAATTTTCTCCCGACAATATCCATACCTTGTCAAGATATAAGGTTATGAGAATTTATGAAATGATCGCTTAAGAGAAAATGCTTTGATCTGCTATCAAATTCTCCCAGTTAATTCTTAAAGGAAATGTATGGAGATCAGTTTGGAGAATTTGTATGTGGATATTGGGGCTTTAAAAAGGGTTAAATATCATGATTCCAAATTTCAATTCAGCGGGAGTCCAAAAGGGCCACATTTGGCCAGTTCTAAGCTTGTCACTCTCTTTATTCTACTTCAATTAATGTTAAGACCTACAGTGTAGAAAATGAGTCAAACACATACGTGGGAGGGCTTCACTTGGTTAGCTTTCTTTAAAAACTTCTTCTTTATGACTGCCTGTTTTGAAAATGGCATATGCCAGCGGGTTAACGGCCGAATTTAAAACCAAGACAGGAATTTTATAGTTTTCATCATTATATCGTGATGAGGATAGTGTTAGGAAACTACAACGCAGGTACATTCCATCGCAAACAAGAAACACTCTTATCACAAGACCCATCATAATTACTGCAAACCGCTCGTGAAGAGTTTCAAAGGACGCCAGATGGTCCGGTGGTTAAAACGTAACTGTTTTGCTATTAGGTGCGTGCTGACCGATCATGCTTGCCTACATGAAAAATCATTGATACAAAACTGGTTATAATCAGAGCACATGGGAAGATCTCGAGTGAAATTATATACAGCCAGTTAAAAGGAGCAGTGGCAAGACTCGTTTTTAAACTAAAACGAAATGAAAACTGAAACACCACAAAACCAAATGTTATAGTCCAAAAGAAGAAAATAGCTAACGGACAATTCGACGACGAGTCATAAATTAAAGAAATGCACTTTAGAGGATAGACGATAGCAATCAAACGATCTAGTTGTAAACTGTATAAGTTTCCAATGGAAGTGTTACTAAACAGCCACCTTATAAAATTCACCCAAGATAGCAAATGTTGAGGCCAGTAGCAGGTGTTTTTGCCGTAATGTCGCAGAAAAATAGAGGAGGAGTTCCGCTCAACTACAACACAGAAATCTGCCACGGCGAGGGAAAGAATAATCGCGTCGGTTTTGGTGCGGAGATTTCGTCTGCTGCAAATGAGCCGAGGAAGATTTTCAATTTATTTCCAGTGATGGTCAGTAATGAAAGAAACCAGCAGAGAATCCAAAACCAGGTCTCCATTCGTGTTAACAGTTAACAGTCCGGGCCACAACCAGATCTGGATATATAATTTCCTGCAGTGTGATTGGTCCAGACGGCAACCAAAACATTGATTTGACCGCCTAAGGACTAAGGTCGACAGAAATGTCGAAGCAAAGAGCGCTATGGCTGGGATGTTCCTTGAAGAAAAGTAACAGCATGCAATATCAAACCGATTAAGCGAGATGATTTTATGCGTCTTAGCGTTCGATTTACAAATATCAACATGATAATTATCGAGGAAGGTTTCTGTCAAAACGCCTGGACTTCTGATATCAAGAGACCCGAAGCAGGGAATTTGAATACTTGAAATACTGATACATTTTAAGTGGAAAGGTATAAAGAAGTCGTGTTTGGAGTACTTTTTGCGAGCACCGCTTCCGCCTAGAGTAGTGTGTTCTATGCTTCTTCGGGAACACTACCATACGTGCTAACATCTAATTGCGATCGAAGAAGTACTGAATATTAATTTTCAATATTTAAATCGTCAAACACTTTGGATTAATATGCGAAGGTAAAAAAAGAAATAAAATTTCTGTAAATTGCACTAACGAAGGGTCGTAAACAGTAATTAATCAATGTCTGTCTTTTCGTGTTGCAAAACCCCATTATTGATGAAAATAATAAAATACCATTCACCAGTTCAGAGGTGGACTTTATCGTGTTCTAATAGCAATAAAGTGGGGTGGTAGGCCTACACGACTTTTACCTCATGCCAAAACGCTGCTCGTTCCAATTACGTTTTTTTCCTCTGCTGGGTAAACTATGATCTGGAAGGTTGCACATTTTCACTGAGCAATTGTGTTTTTAGCCGCTTGTTTCACACTGAGAGTGGCACACGTATCGATTTACTGTGGTTTTTGTATCTGGTCTGAAGGATTTTCCTTCTAATGCAATAGCATTTTCTGCGACCTCAGTTTTTGAAGCGTAAAGCATTTTATTACGGCTGAATAAGGGTTCTAATTTTCTCCAAAGTGCCTTCTGGATCTGAATAACTAAGCGATTTTTGTTACTCCGTGAATGTGAATAAAAATCAGGTTGTTTTTTTTTGCAAAGTTGTATCACGCTGGGCCCAGCTCATGAGTTTTCTTTGCAGGATGTTAAATTATCACGGATAGTGATTTACAGATACAAAATTATAAGAATTAAGTGCAGCTTCAGCTGAAGCTGCATCAACTATGGAGAAATGCATTATGACTCAGTAGACTCCAGCTTGGTGTTTTTCTATAAATGCGAGTCTTCTGACTGGAGCGCGTATTCCCTTCCTTGATAATAGCTGAATAGCTTTTGAATAAGCTTAACAGTGTTTGAACTGTTTTGTTATTGCCACTTTTTGATCATCAGGCAAGACCATGGTTACGGTTCTCCACGAACAAACCGGCGGCATCTTTTTGCCACAAAAACAAGTTGCTTTTGCTTTTCCATCCGACTGCAAGATAACATAAAATAAACATGGCGTTACAATGAAAACCAGCGCAACTGACTGTTGCATCTTCCAAAGCACAGCACTATTTGAATTCGCTATGCACTACACCAAAAAGACCACCATCAACAAGCAAATTTTATTTAGATTTCAAAAAAAATTTTTTCAAGGATCAGAAAATTGAAACTCACTTTCTTTTTTTAGATGTTTTGTGCCTTGTCCGGCATTTCTTTGAGCTGAAAAACTCTCGCGCTCGGTCGTTTTACCTCTCAAGAACGCACAAAGGTTCATCGGACGGCATTTTTTCTTCACACCCCTGATTTCGCATCGTCTAAAGTCACCGCTCTCAAAGTAGTATGGGGAAAAGACACCTCTAGGCGCAGCTAAGAGCCTGGAAGTGACCTTCCCTTGTTTCTCGGCGTGGGCGCCATTTTGCAAATGTGGGTGACCTCATCATATATCCAGATCTGGTTGTGGCCCGGACAGGTTAAAGGAAGTTCTTATCAACCATAGATTACAAACTAGTAATAACTAAAGGTTACTGAGTGCGGGCGGCAACGATCGAAGGTTAAAACGCTTTTTCACCATCACTGTGCTTAAGTGTGCTTTACGTGCGTTTCACGTGAGAGATAGTCAAAACACGCGTGATCAGATTACGAGTGATAGAAGGTCAAAACACGCGTGATCAAATTGCCTTCTGTATATTCGATTCATTCTTTGTGGAAGTCCAAACGAATGCTGGCTACATACATGTGACGCATGTGAAATAATTAGTAACTAGTAATAACCAAAGCTTAGGGAGTGTGGGCGACAACAATCGAAGGTCAAAACGCTTTTGCTCCATCGCTGTGCTTTGCGTACGTTTCACGTGACATATGATTAAAACACGCGTGATCAGATTACGAGGGGCAGAAGGTCGAGACGCGAGTGATCAAATTGCGTTCTGTGCATTCTATTCATTCTTAGTGCAAGTCCAAACTAATGCTGGCTACATACATGCGACGCAAGCGTCATAACAACCGGGAGATTAGGATTGCGGGCTCATCTTGACGCCCGCAATAACGCTTTTGCGTAAAAAGCAGGGTCACATTTATCAAATTGACGTATTCCTGAGTTAACAAGAGCTAGAGAAAACGGGGACCGTCACGTGGCAATAGCGCTAGAACATCTGTCAGTCAAACGGGACAAAGTCAGTCACGTGAGTTATCCCTTTACTGCAATTTACTGTCAACTTAGTTCACTAAGTAACTGCGAGGTCATTGTATTCTTATTTGCGACAGTTCTTTATTAGAAACTGCGACAGGTGTTACAAATTACGGCAAAAGTTAGACAGCAATTTATTAGAAGAAGTTTTTTCGTTTTCGCTATCCAATCAAAAGCGAGTAGGTAAAATTGCATGACTGTCGAAAAAAATACATATATATGAGATGCTACCAGAAGTTAAACTCAAAGCAAAGAAACAGCTTGGAAACTTGTTTGCTAAAGAAAACGATGGCCTTTCTCGTCATGAGAAATAAACTGGTACTCACACCTGTATGGTCGATGCAGATCGTACTAAAGTTCTTAAACATTTCATTCAGGCTAAGCTAAATTGATCGGAATAATTTGCATTTGGAAGATAAATAAACTACTACTTAATTCACACGCTCAAAAATGATCCTACTCGATTCTCGATTCATGCAGAATATTTCTTTTTTAACAGTGCGCCAAAATGGAAAAAGGGAAACCAAGTGTCTGGTAGTAGGATGTGAACATAAAATTATACTCTCACGATACTAAAAGTTCCATCCAATAAGAACTTTCGCCTCCCATCACTGTGTGAACTTGATCCTTTCCCCAATATTTTGCATTCTCTTAGGGTCCAAAGGTTCTTGTTTTCTCTCCTCATGCGCCTTTTTTTACAAATTCCAATCCGCTTTCAGCGTCACAGATCTATCTGGCAGTCTCTTCTCAAGCCTTTCATCGTCTTTTAAGCCCTACATCCTCCAAAATTAAGTCACGCGTCCTGTCGTAGGGTTTGGTTAAAATTGTTGTATTTCCTTTAAAACACAGCGCCAACAAGTCTTTTAATATACCTCGGAATCGTTTCAAGAAACCACCTGACATGTACTGGATTGTATTCTTATCGTCCTTTGGTTCTTGTACCCTCCTTAAACACCAGTGTTTCTAAACTATGATTTGAGACAAACCGCCAGGGATTTGCCGGCTCCAAAACTGCCGCCCGCGATGCCTGACACAATCCGCTATCAAAGGCAGTTCTGCCAACTAATATTAAGATCTCTGTTCTTCAAAAATGATCTAACAATGAGTGGAAGGCTCTACTTGGTTACTTTTCTTGAAAACCACCCAACCGATTAGTCGTCTAAACTCTTTCTTTATGTCTCTTTTGAAAAAGGCATAAGCCAGCGGGTTGATGGCCGAGTTTAAAACCAAGAAAGGAATTTTGTAGTTTTCATCATTACATCGTGATGAGGATAGTGTTAGAAAACTACAACGCAGATGCATCCCATAGCAAACAAGAAACGCTCCTATCACCAGACCCATCATTATTACTGCAGACTTCTCGTGATGGATTTTAAACGACACCTGATGGTTAAAACGTAACTGTTTCGCTAAGGTGCGTGCTAACTGATCATGCCTGCATACATGAAATATCATTGATACAAAGCAGAGTATTAATACAACACACGGAAGAAACTCGGAAACAATGGTCAGCCAAATAAAAGGGACAGGTATTGTTTTGAAATAAAAAATAAAAAGGGTAGCCTTTAGCGCATTATAACTAACTGTTAGAACCCAAGAGAAGAAAATAACTTGAATAATTCGACGGCGAGTCATCAAAGTAAGGTATTTTAGAGGATGGACGATGGCAATAAAACGATCCAGTACTAAGCCGCATAAGCTTGCAACAGACGTGTTACTAAATAACCACCTTATAACATTCACCCAAGATCGCAAATGTTGAGGCCTGCCGCAGGTGTTTGTAATGTCGCATGCGAACAGAGAAGGAATAACGCTCAAACCAACACAGAAATCCGCTACTGCAAGTGAAACAATAAACGCGTTGGTTTTGGTGCGGAGATTCCGTCTGCTGCAGACGAGGAAGATTGTAAATCCATTTCCAGTGATGGTTAGAAATGAAAGAACCCAGCCAAGAATCCAAAACCAGGTTTCCATCTAAACAGTTAAAGGAAGTTTCTATCAACTATTGATTATAACCAACATCGACCCCTGCAAAAATATCAGGGCCACATGAAATAAGTGTTAGTATAAGTTCTTGAAATCATCTTTATTTGTTATGACAACGGTGTTAATTAATTCCATAAAAATTTGTATTGGACTAAGCTATGACAATTGAACAAAAATAAAAGAAAAAAGAAAAATAACTATCTAACTTTTTTGTGTGTTTATTAATTAGAAATTAATTATAAACAAGGAAAATAGGTACGAAATCTTCTAGTAAATTCTAGGAACCTACTTAATTGTTACGGTAAAATTATTCTTTTTCTTATCGCTTAATTTCGAAGATTTTACTATGAAACGTTTCGTTTGATATAAACCGTCCCAGCGTTGGACAGTTCGTCTACTCTCTCTGGGTTGGGCTGCCTGATCATGAGCAACCAATCAATACTGAGTTTTTGTCTCGAATTCAAAAACTCACTATATATTCATAAAGAAAAAACAATATCATTATTTTTTGGTTGTCAGAATGAATTTTAATTATGCCGAGAACGCCTTAAATTTAAATCTTAATTAAAGAGGATCCATCAGCCACGAGTCAAGACACGTAAAATTGCAACAAGCTATGTTTACTTTCTCTAAATGATGAATTTTGGTAAGAAAAAAATTTACGCTTGTTTGACGTTTATTACGACTAACGATTAAAAGTTTCCACTTTTACTTCTGACGACTGAAATTTGTGACTCTTTTACGGCTAACGGGTAATCCTATCGAGACCCTCCTAAAAGTAGCAGCATATATTTACCTTCCCTTTCTTTTCAATTGTTTCGCTCAAGGTTGAATCCTGTTGCTAATCATTTAAAATATTTCTTACAGTAGACAAAGGTACTACAACCGAGAAGCCCTCGGGACTAGGTTTTGCGAAGAAAAACTAGTCGGTACTAAGTACTTCCTAAAACATAGCGAGGGCAGCAAAAAGAAAAATCCACAGATCGCAACTGCTATTTAAAGAATATATGGTGGACTAAAGGTTTAAATTATCCAGTATTTACCGAGGAATAAACAAATGAAGACAGACTTTACGGCATCGATCAAGGTAAGCATAGGTAGTTTATGAATGAATAATTTTGAATAAATAATGAAAAAATTATTTATTTCGATCTCCTTTCGTATGATAAGAAGAATTATTCAGATCTACTCAGCCTTATTCAATAATTGCTGATTATTTTCAGCTGTCAGCTAAAAATTTTGACCAATTCCCGGCTGCCACATAACCAGTTGCAGAAGCTCCTCAGTTTTTCTGAATTTAATCTAAAGAATTTGTTAACGATGAGCGTTAATGACACAGTTTTTAGCTGACAACAGGAGGACACGATCCATTTTATCTTATATTACTTTTTCTATCGTTAGCCTCGGCAATAAGAGAAGAAAGGGATGTAAGCAAGACGCTGCAAGCAGGGTTTACTTGGGCTTGCTACTAAGTGCTATCAGCCTGAAACTCGTAAGGGGTTGAAACATGTAACTCGCTTTCAATGCTCGTAAATATTCACTTTTACCATATTTGGAGACTTTCGTGGAGGAGATCGTTTTTCAATAAAATAGCTGCCGTGCGATCACCATGCGGTGGTTTTAAGACCAGAGTAATGCATTTCAGAGTAAAAAATACACCGTTAAAAGACGGAAATGGAAAGAGAAAGTTCAAAAGAATGCTTGTTTTTCTTTTTGTGGAGAAAGGGAAGCTTTTCATCAAGAAATCGTCCTTTTGTTTTCTTCACTGCAGAGCGCATGGTCTGTTTTGAAATTCAGGCAAGGTAGCGAAGTTTTTGCTGAATTTTCAGGTACATTTTGCTCTCTATGGCCAAGAAAATTACGCTTTTGAAAGGGAATTTATGTATTCATAAATGTTTCATAGATGTTTTATACATTTTTTCGTCGGTGTTAAAGAAAAATTACGAAATCAAATGCGCCCCGATTTGAGATGGATTTTGTGTTGAATTATGCCACGTGCTCAGACGATTTTACTTGCGTACGTGAACGGATCCACGATACATGTACAGATAGTGTTACGCAACTTGCTTTAAGGAATTAACTTTTTGGATTTTGAATAAAAATTTTCAAGAAGCGGCTTCTCTGTCTAATGTTTTTAGTTTGTTCATTCATAAAATTAGCTCAAAACTCGATCGTGATACTTCAGCATCCAAGCTGAATTTAACCTTAATGCTTGTGAGCATTAACACATTGCACGCATCACTTTTGCGAAGATGTCCGCGAACTTTATACAATTTTTTCTTTCAGATTCAGTTTTTGGACACTTTTCGGATACGCAGCTAATGAATTTTATTCGAAAATATGTTATACTGTTTATTCTAGACATTTAATATGAGAATTTTAAAAGCCTATTTGCAGTATAAGTTTACTACGCAGAGGGTCACCGAGGTAAGTGACAACTTCAAGAAGTCGCGCGGTCGACAATGGCCCGGGTGGTATGCCAGTAGGTCACTTCCGAGTTCTAAAAACCCTCACTTTCAAGTGCAAAACCTTTCTTGTGAAAATGAGTTTTATTTGCATCAGACTGAAACATTATTTCCATATCAAAGGCTGAGCACTTAACCTCGTTTTGATACAGAGGCCCGGGGGAACTCGGAAATGGCCTATTTCTTGCTCAGTATTTCGGTAAGCTTCCTGGTTCAACCTTTGAAAGCTTACTCGGCTTCCGGGAGTTTTTCCCCCGTGTGTCGGTCATTTTTTTAAGCGGGCGCGGGAACATGAAGCAAAATTACGTCATGACGTTTACGAAGTTTGGTTAGTCAGTTATCATTTCTTCTCGTTCCAAATATGATAGTTTCGAAAATGGATAATCACTAGCATCGGACAAAGCAAACATATGAGAGTAACACGTTTCAACCCCTTATGGGGTTCTGGTGCTGTGTAATAAGAAATTCAGTACTTTCATTCTAAGTCTAGACAAAACACACAGGGTTGAGAAAAACCATGCAGTCTGCACGTTGAGCTTAATCTTATTGTGGATTAATTGTAACCCAATTCCGAGTTGTTGAATTGTTCCCATGCATTGTTTCAAAGAGTAGCCAGCTGCCAGTTTATTTAAGGTAGCACGAAAAGGTTTTTAAGGGTCAATATCTCCCAAGTTTGAACATAAACTACGTCGCCAACAACAAGGATTTGGAAAAATTACCACTATATCTGTATTAGATAAAAGTAGAAATCCTCTGTCGCCGGAAATTTGACCTTGGACCAACGCCCTGTATCCACTCTCAAAATCACAGCGTCTGCCGAAAGAAGGTATTTTGGACATGGCACGAGAAAATGCTCATTTTCAGCAACATGGATGGGGATATTTCGCTTTTAAACGTTCACCGAGGTGTAGACTGCAAAACAGTCGGTTTTTTTCTCAAAATCAGTAACGCGGAAATCGGTAAAGCGTGGCGTAAGAGTCTTGTGCCTCACACGCCGGCGTGTGTGGTGAGACTTTAGCGTCTCTCCCTAGTCTCGCTCTCTGTTTTCAGCCTCGTTCCGGACATTTTGTTTGACTGCTAGCGCGTTGTTGAATACGCAAGAATACGGACTGTTTTGCAGTCTAACTGAGGTGTAGCAATGATACTGCTCTGCCTCTGGTCGAATTAATCTGCGATTCGATGGGTTTTCGGGCCGCAAACTGCTGGACCACCCGCTGTGTTTCTGTGCGGCCCTTACTTCGTCTTATGAAGGGAGTGACAGGGGTCACAGAATAACAGCCAAAAACGACTAAATCGATTAATTCAAACTAAAAACACAGGAACACATCAAAGGTAAGTCTCCTTTGTTTATATTAGAGAAAAAAAGGTAAAATATGATAGTTAGCTTTTGCATACCTCACTATTTATTTCTCATACAAAGGATCAAGGGTCGCCTGTAACGCGGCACCTACTCTCTTGTGAGAAAGTAAATTTACATTCCACACTCGTAACGTGAGCTTGGGACGCCTGTGGACCCACATATTAGATAGTAATAGCTGACACTACAGCTGCCCCCGCTCTGTATGTTGTCGGTCAATATTATTCTTGGTCTTTGTGATGTGTAACACTTTGAAATATACCGCTTCGTTAAAAAAATGAAGATTTTCACACATATTCCATACAATAGGTGAGACAAAAAAAAAGGAACGCGAGGCTCCATGCATTGATGGCAATTCGATTAACACAGCTTTTATCAAAACATTCTCAGTTTCGAGAATATTTCTTTTTAGTATATACTAAAACAGTGGATAGTGTTTCTCGCGCGCTCTGGTTGGCTACTCAATCAGTGAATGCCCTGAACTATTCACTGATTCACCTCCAGTTCCGCGAGCGATTCCAAACTCGCGTAAGTTGCGAGCAAAATGCCTACCCGGTTTGCTGCCGTAACAAACAAACAAATTTCACAACTTATCAAGGAAGCTGTTCCCGAAATACACGAAGAAATTAAGGTCACGAAGTTCGATCAGTTTGGACGTTTTAACAGGTAAAGGTTTGTCCTTTTGAAAAGTTTTTTGTTTGCAAATGCAAATTAAGCTTAATTGCGTTACTTTAATTTATTTAGTTGACTTGTTCATAAATAAGCTTAAAACTAAATTTAATAATCTTTTTTAGAGAATGATTTTAAACACAAAAAGAATTCACAACTCCTTTTGAAGAAATTTCCCCGCAAGAGCTAAACAAACGCCTTCAAAAGTTTTATTTGTCGGCAAGAAAAAGCGACGACTGCGGTCGTTCGGTCATCGCGCGCCAAAATTGTAATCGTTGGCAGCAGTAAATGAGTTAAAAATCATCATTTTTGTGCTCAATTATCTCACTGTTTTAGTACATAGTAAAACAATTATTCACCTCAGCGTCGGTGGCTAGTGGTGGAAATTTACTTCGCCGCTGACGCGGCCTCGGTAAAAACCAACACTAGCCACCTCCACGTCGGTGAATAATTGTTATCTAAACCATAAGAAAAAATTTGATTAGAAGTTTTCGCTATTCATCTTTCACATTTTACATACAGTTCATTTTATTAGTCGGAAAGTAAGCCTTAGATATTAAAAGATTTGATCGATTTACGCTCGTGCGTTCTAGTAATTTCATTTTTAACTATTAAGACGATACTTTAAAAAGACTTTACAGAGGGCTATTTGTGAGCAGGGAATCAGGTCAGGACAGAATTTAAGTGTCGGCGAATTTCTGTAATGTCCAGCGTTGTGCTAGTGATAAGCTAGCCGATGATTCACTCGTCTTGCATGTTTGTGGACTGAGTAGAGAGAAAGAGTTCTGGCAAATTGTTTCCAATCATACATTTGTAAATGATAAACTCATGTTTTGCAAACTCTCCAAGTGTTTATACAAATACAGTTATTAACGCACCCCATAATTTCATCTGCGCTTATAACGAGTGTCTTTTGGTCCATAACTTTCAAAACAGCTGCTCCACAGAATGTCACTGATAACACGTAAAGCAAAAGAGTATCAAAGTATGACTGTACAATAAGACTCACAAAATCGACCTAAACGGTTCCTTCGGGGTTTTTTTGTTCTACGTCATCCTAACATCTCTTACTTGCGTGCGTGATCAATAGAAACGTCATCATTACCCAAAGATTCCATGCGGTCCCTAATCAAGCAAATCGAGATTTTCTCTGGTGTGCGGACTGTATATTTCAACTGTAAGTAATTTTCTATACGCGCGAGCTACTAAGACGCGTCCTCGGGATTTCTTTTCTTTTTTTCCTAGGGATTGAGCCTTCTGGGCGAAATCCCTGGGCAGGCAAAAAAACTGTCAAACACGTGCGTGGAAGGCTTAACTTGGTTGCTTTTCTTTAAAAACATATTTATAGAGATAAGTCTTCTAACTCTCTTTCTTTATGCCTCTTTGGAAAAAAGCATAAGCCAGGGGGTTAAAATCAAGACAGGAATTTTGTATTTTACATCGTTGCATGATGCCATTCCAGTAGTTCGAACAGTATTAGAAAACTACAATGCAAATACATTCCGTAGGTAATAATAAACACTCCTATCACAATACCCATCATTATTACAGCAGACTTCTCGCCGTGATAGGTTTTAAAGAGACACCCAGTGCTGATTATACCGTAGCTGTTTCAATAAAGTGCGTGCTGACCTATAATGCTTGTATACAGTCACGAAGTATCATTGATGCAAAACAGAATACTATCAACGTAGATGGGAGGAACTCGAGTAAAATTACATCCAGCCAGCAAAAAAGGGCAGTGACAAGTCTATAGTTTTTAAACTAACACGAAGTGATATCTGAAGCACTGCAAAACCAGCTGTTGCAATCCAAGAGAAAAATATAACTTGGATGATGTAACAGGGAGTCATCAAATTAATGTCTTTTAGAGGATGAACGATGGGAAAAAGAAGATCTATTATTACTTCCAAAATTTTAACGCTATTTATAAGTAGCCGTGCTGTCGTATTTTGTAATTATCGTTATTTGTAATAAACGTTAGCAAGGGAGAAAATGTGGACTTCCACGAGGGAATAGCACAAAAAATATCTGTCAATTAAACGATACCACGCGTCAGTCACGTGAGTTGCTACTTTACTGCAATTTATTGTTAATTTGGTTCACTAAATATTGGGGGTAATATATTCTTAATTGCGACAGTTCTTTATTAGAAACTGGGGCAGGAGTTGCAAATTACAGCAAGAGTTATGGTAACTTTCATTAGAAGAAGATTTTTCGTTTCCGCCATCCAATCAGAAGCAAGAAGGTAAAATTGCATATCAAAAATTAAAAACTATACATTTATATGAGATTCAACATGAAATTAAACTCAAAGAAAAGAAGCGCTTGAAAACTTGGCCTTTCACGACATGACAAACAAAAGTACTGCATCTACCTTACCTGTATGGTCATTATGACAAATATTTCTCATGCTGAAAAAACAATAAAATTCATTTCCGATAAAAAGGATATTAATCTTCGAACAGCTCATCGTATAAGAAGTACAAAACTATTGACACATGTAGAGATGTAGGGACTATGGGGCATGATCGTAAGCTAAGGGAGGTCTGGTACTTAATTATTTTTATTACTCATTCAAAATATTTCTTCAATTCTGATTGCATAAAAGCACACGCATAATTCACCACAACCAGTCATTGATGACCAAATTTGGAAGGATTTTGTGTTCAACGAGGAGGGTGTTCTCTACCTCGGCCTTCGGCCTCGGTGGATAACACCCTCCTCGATCTGCTTAATTCTTCATATCCTTCTCAGCCTCATTCATTCATTGCTAAATATAAAAATGAGTCTAAAAATTGTATGTGAATGAAGACCTATTTCCACAGAAAAAGAAAAGGTATTTTAAAAGTTGCGCCACTTAACTGAACATCTGGCCTTTTGCGTCATGTTAATACTCTAACGTCATTGACTGGTTTTGAATAAAGATAAAACCATATGATCTCATAATTTTACAGAACTTCCTTTAACTGCTAAGATGGAGATCTGGTTTTGGATTCTTGGCTGGGTTCTTTCGTTTCTTGCCATCACTGGAAATGGATTTACAATCTTCCTCGTCTGCAGAAGACGAAATCTCCGCACCAAAACAAACGCGTTTATTGTATCACTTGCAGTAGCGGATTTCTGTGTTGGTTTGGGCGTTATTCCTTCTCTGTTCGCATGTGACGTTACAAACACCTGCTACTGGCCTCAGCTTTGGTTATCTTGGGTGAAATTCATACGGTTGCTGTTTAGTAGCACGTCTGCTGTAAACTTATGCGGCTTGGTACTGGATCGTTTTGTTGCCATCGTTCATCCTCTCAAATACATTACTTTTATGACTCGCCGTCGAATTATCCGAATTATTTTCTTCTCTTGGGTCTTAACAGTCAGCTATAATATCCTTCAGTTTCTAATTTTGATTATTTGCAAAACATCTATTCTCATTTTCTTTGGGTTACATCTAATTTTCTTCGAATTCCTTCCCTGTATTTTATTAATATCCTGCTTTGTATCAATGATATTTCACGTACGCAAGCATAATAAGTCAGAACGCACCTTAGCAAAACAGTTACGTTCTAACCATTGGATATCTTTTAAAACCCATCAGAAGAAGTCGGCAGTAACAATGATGGGCCTTGTGATAGGAGTGTTTCTTGTGTGCTACGGAATACATTTACGTTGTAGTATAGTAGTTCTATTCGACACAAATGCATCATGTAAAGATGAACAATTCAAAATTCCTGTCTTGGTTTTAAACTCAGCTATTAACCCACTATCTTATGCCCTTTTCAAAAGAGATATAAAGAAAGAGTTGAGAAGACTTATTGGACATGGCTCTTTTTTTAAAGGAAAAGGACCATGAATAACGGGTTGTGGCAGGACTCTACAGTTTTGGAGCTGGCAAAGATGTGGCTGTTGGACTCAAATCGAGTTGGAATTTGGAAATATTGATGTCTAAGCAGGAAAAAAGGAAGAGCCAAAGGACACATGAGAATACATACATTATACACATGGAAAAAAAGAATCCCGCAGAGAGGCCTGGGCAGTAATGCTGCAGCAGGAATTTAATTTGTTCGACTCCTATTTTATTGGTCAGTTCTGTCCAAGATGGCAGGGTAGACAATTCCTTTTTCATAAAAGCTATCAAAATTGGATTGCGGTTTTTTAGATCATCGAAACTTTAAGTTAATTGTTTTTATCATTCGTGAATAAAAATTTGTTTATGAAGTAGAGAACAAGTCCAGATGTTTTTGGAAATGATTTTGCATATTTGCCATTGATAAGAGAACCTTAAGCTGTTGAGATACAGGCTGAATTAGTCACGTAATTTTATACGGTGGCTGTTCAGTTGCATGTCCGTTGTAAACTTCACTGCTTAGTGCGGGATCGTTACAAATCACCATCGCAAATCCTCCAAAAAATCAGCCAGCGCATCATCTAACAAAAGCTTCTTTCTCTACAGTCTCTTGTGTTCTAACAATTGGTTTTATTGTGCTTCAGTTTTCATTTCGGGTTAATCTAAAAACCAATCTTGTCACTTTCCGCAAATATATACACATTTAGTACAAATAAGCTAACCCAAAGCTATAACGAACTGACATCGCACTTAGCAATGACCATGTTGTATATACACCACAAAACCAACACCATCATTCACTCTTGTTTATTATTTTGTACTTCGTTACATGCACGTTCCTGGCTGGATTACTTCATATAAATATGACACAAATTATTTGACATTTTTTAAAATGTTAACGTTCTCTACTAGAACAGAAAACTAATTAAAATTTTATTAACACTTTAAAAGTATTATGATTCTTGAAGAATTGGAATGGTGGGAAATTTCTTTGTGCTATAAACTGAGGGACCGGTCATTATTTATCGCCTGGGGGGGGGAGGATTTTGGGGGGATCACTTGATTTTTAGAAGAACAAAAGGGGGGATCAGTCGTAACTGCAGAACCCAAAAGGGGGGATCACTGAAAACTTTGGAAGGATGCAGTGGGAGGACCACTCGAATTAGCTTTGAAAATGAAGACATGGGGGGGATCGCGAAAGTCATCAAATGTTGTTAGGGGGGGTCACTTCAGTGAAGTAACATTCAAAGAGGGGATGAGCTAAATTTCTCATTGTTTAGCCTCAAATCCTCCCCCCGCCCCGGCGATAAATAATGACCGGTCTCTAACGTTAGTTCCTTAGGATTTTCTCCTCGGTTTTGCTTGATTGAGTGATTGGAAGGAAGGTTAATACGTTTCTCCACACCATAAAATCTTATATTATCAGGTAAAACGTTTTAGTTGACAGCAAGTCACGCACTCTTGCCTACATCTTTAGCTACAGTCAAACCTGCATATGTTGTGCACACTAGTGTTTCTTTGTGGTTCAGTCTTGAAAAAGTGACCGTTGATAACTCGTTGGGACCACGGAAAAGGTGACCTCGAGCGCTCAATACAGGTGACCGCTTAATTCAGGTCAGTTCTTCAGTGATTTAGGAAAATGCTTTTCGGGGCTTAAGAAAGTGACCGCTTAATAGAGGGAGACTGCATGCTTTATGCAGGTCCCGGCTTATTACAGGTTTGACTGTAAATTAACGACTCTCACGTCTAAGGATATTGCAGGCTAGACAGCCACCCTTAAGAGAACCGGCACCTGAATGATTTAGTATAATACTGCGCTATTGCGTTCCTTCAACATGTGACGAAGTTTCAAATATTATGCAACTTTTTAGTGTCACGGAAATCTCTTTTGCTCCTGTTCCTATCTCTACTCTGGTGTCCCTGGCAACTGCAGACGATTCGCCCTGTTGTCTCGCCCGTGTACTGTCTCTATCGACGCTCGGGGTGGGGGTAGGTCTTGTACTCTGCGTTGCGAATCACTAAACCTTGATTGCGTGTTGCGGTTGGCGTAATAGGACTGGGGCCCATTTCTACTATCGCGCATGTCCTGTATCCACATGCGTTCACCAGTTGTTTTGTTAAAGGCGTATAATTTTCCGGAAACTATGAAGGAAAGATAATGAAAAGCATTAAAACTACCTTCAGCTATAAGTGTCGAACAAACGATACGCCCGCACAAATTCAAACGAACCAATTAAAACTCGAAGAAATAGGCGCCGATCGTTTTGTTTTGGGTTTTTATTTGGGATTAGATGGGAAGGTGGTGAGAAATTTTTCAGCCAATTAAAAAGCGTAAAAGGATGCAATTGCCATGTATTTCCAAGGCAATTTCCGCCGGGTACTTCTTTCATCTGTGAAACTTATACCCCGTTCACACCAACGCTTAAACATGTTTAAATAATGTTTAGTTAAACTCAGTTTAAAATAAAACGGTTCACATAGCACGCTGACGCAATCTAAACATGTCCATAGCTGAACCGTTCATCTTCGAACTCAATTTTAACTCACTTAAAAACTCCCTCAACATGAAGATTGGGTTTTATTAGATTGCGTGATGTTTACATTACGAAAGTGAGACTGCAAACATCAAGACGAGGCTGAAAGTAACTCCTACACACGTTTTCGATGTGAACGGTTTTTTAGTAAAACACGTTTAGTTAAACCAGTGTTTATGTAAACTGTGTTTAGTAAAACATTTAGTTGGTGTGAATGGGGTATTATTCTTAAAATTAATAATGCTGACCAAGTTTATTGCAGTTACCTGGGTCAACAGCTTTGCCGTCAAACCTTTTTCCATCTGGAGGAGCCTAAAGAAAAAAATTGTTTAAAGAAGCAGTAGAGACGAGGAGTTTAAATAAAAAGCGGGAAACACCCAACGTTTATCACTACAATTGGTAAAAAAAAGGTTGTTTGAGTAATAATAGGGAGCTTAAGCAACAACGACGGCAACGGCTACGAAAGGTCAGTCACTTAAAAAGTGAATTCGCGCTGCTTCAAACTTTATCGCGCTTATTCCATCTCGTTCATTTCGGGTAGAATTCAACTCCAGCCAATTTTTTCTGAAGTTGAATTCTAAAAGACTGCATCAAAGTTCAGGAAAAGAAATAGAAAGTCGTTGTCTTGTGTTCACGTCCTCCACAAAACGTAAAATTAGGCAGTTGCACGTCGTAGTCGTGCGCTGACGGCAAAAAAATGTACAAAAAAGCGTGATGCACGTGCAAATTTGTTGTTATGCCAATCTAAACCAATTGCTTTTTTGCCGTTCTCGTTGACGTCGACGTCGTCGTTGCTTTAGCTCCCGGATCGTTATACGAGGGTCTCAATGGGGTTAACCGATAGGCGTAAAACGGCCAAAAATTTAGTCGATAGCCGTAAAAATTGAAAAATTTTAACCATTAGCCGTAAATAGGTAAAAAAGAGTTAACCGTAAAAGAAACTGTTCCCTAGATTTGTTACTTTTAATGAAGGTACTAAAATCAGTTATGGTTGCGTTTTTTATTTGCTGGCTAGAGTGATTCCGTACGCACGTTAGGCGAAGCGCCTTTTAGTTGTTGACCAAGACCTAGGCTCCATTTCCGCCGCTCTCCTGGGGAACTAATTTTTTCCAAAGCGAAAGTGTGGCTCCTTGCTGGGGATTATATTTGCGATTTTCAGGAGGTCGTGTCCTCGAAACACTAGTGAAACAGTACGCAGGGATGTCTCTGTTTGTAAAACACGTTGCCGATAAACAACACTTCCCTGTTTTTCTCTGACGCTACGGTAGACATGGCCATGCCTAATCCCTGTACGGCGTCTTCCCACGCAATCTCGGTCAAGGCATTTCGGTGGCGAACGCGCTTGGACCACGTGACCCGAAAAGCATTAGCCGCGCGGAATAATGAGGCCTACGGACAAGGCAACGGCAGACAGTCGTTCGGTACAGTCCTTTGCTATCATTAAAAACACTGGACCAGGGGCCCGTAACCCGGAGCGTCTAACTTCCATACTGCGCCTATGCAACGGCGTTTTCACAAGTAGGTCTATTTTTAGATAAGCCTTTCCCGCGAATTCCTTTTGAAAAGCCAATCACTAGAAGTTGCGTCATCAATGTTAAACCTTTAATACGTAACTAGGACAACTCCTTCACACTGAAACACACGTAAGGAATCTTCAGAGGAGTCTTCTGACAGTACATCCTCGGAGACCCAGGGGCAGTTAGTCGGGTCGATAAAATGTTCGTGGTGAAAGTTTTCTGTAAGATGAGACGAGCCCCTGGGCACTTACTCTTACCGAACCAGTTCCAGAAGCGTTTGAATTGCCTGCTTCTGATTGGCCAGAAAAATGTTTTTCTGGTCAATCAGCGAAGAGAAGCTGCCGGGTGACTCTTGTGTTTTGTTACACGACGTAGTTTTCCTCATCGATCGCCATAGTTGCGCAGCGCGTTCAACGGGGAAAGTTTCTCGAGGAAAGTTTCAGAACAAAATGTTAACAACCCGCAAAAATTACAACCTTTAGCACGGCTACAAGAAACAAACACTCTCCGATGAATTTTTAAGGACGATCTTTCCAAGGTATCGTAAATCTTTATTGCTGATACGATACGCGATGCATGGCTTTCACTTTCCACACCTTAATTTGCTCACATTGTCTAGTATACAACGCCAAGCTGACATTTTAGACGTCCATGTTCGTTGCACGACTTCTGAAACTTTCTACAGCGTGAAAATTTCCGTTGCACGGGCTACGCAACTACGTCGATTGATCGTGGGAAATGCCGGTTAGCTGCAGTGCCTTCTTCTTGTTTTCGCTCCAAACTCCTTTCGAAACTTTTAAGCTTAAAAGCTTACAGCAGTTGACCTTACGAATTCTGCCGAAGTTGATAGTAGTGTTAACTTTAGATTCGAGGGAGACCTCCAGCAAGCGCTTGAAAAGGGCTTGTCTTTGTTTCCGGTGGTACATTTCAAAGCGAAGCAAAGAGATGTTTTTGGGCAATTGATAGAAGAGTCTAACATTCCAAATGTTGCCTATAAGCTTGGGGGTTTAAAAATCGTTAGATGCTAAAGGTTATGAATTCCCAAGTAATCCATTGGTCATAGTGATTTCACCTCTCATGTCAATTATTGAGGACCAGGTAAAGTACTCGAGGTCACTAGGAATTCAGGCCGCTTACTTAGGGGAAAGTAAAACGAAAGATCGAGAAATATTGAATGGATAGGGAGCGTTTTCTTTGTTGTACGGAAGCCGGAATCATTAACTGGGGGACAAGAAATTCAGGGCAATGTTCTCTATGGAGTTTTACCAGAAGAATCCCGTTGCAGGTACGTACAGCTGTTCATTGGTAAGTATGCTGATTTGTTTACTAGGAAGGGTGCTATACTGAATTCATTGTGGGGAGTTCTAAAGGGGTAATATGGGATATTGTTGCTTTGGGAAAATGGGATTTAAGTCATTGGCAGGGGGAATCTATCACTGAGAATGGGAAAAAATGTAAAAAATGGGAATTGAGGGTTAAACAGTTTCAATGGGATTGATTCACCCCCCCTTCAGGACCCTCATTATACTTAACAGATCTGGCTTTTATTCAAGGATGCTCAGTAATCTTATGTCTAAAAGCTGACAGACACTTCACAAGAATTATCATGTTTTTTGTCACCATTTATTGACAATTGAAAGCTGATGAAGTAAGCCTTGTGACTGCTTAAGATAATAGTGCAATTGAACATTTACAAATTATAAATGGGAAAACATCCCATAATACAGAACTACAGATGCCATAACATTAATTTTATTTTAAGCTGTTGAGATTTTTTTTTACTTTATCATTATCGGAGTTCACATGTCTACTTATAATACTGCTTGAGTTATGTAAATACTAGGGAGCTGTAATATTTTATTTTATTTCAATTTGTTATTAAACGTTTACGCTGGGGCATTGTTTTACTAGGTGGCCAACACGTATACCTGAGTATATTATTTGAAAACAGTCTAGAAAAATGGGGTGGGCATTATATTCGGGTGCACATTATATACAAGTAAATATGGTATACCTACAAATAACATACAACTGTTTTCCAACACTCTCTGGAAAAAGGGAACTGTGCTGAAATTGTCACTTACTGTTTTCAATAATTCTTAAAGTCTTTCTTCTCTTAGATTTTATTTAGTGCACAACCTGCAGAAGAGAAAAAAGTCCTTCCTTTTTTGATGACAGTAATGAAAACAGCAGAATCATTCTAAGCCACTAATGTTACGACATCAGAGCCAAAGACTGTTAGTCTGCTTAAAGAAATCAAGATGATCCGAGACAGGAATTTCAAGAATCAAATCTTTACTGCTTGTATTCTAGAATTTGTATTCTCTGATTGTCTTCTACAGGAAACAGTAATAATTTGGTAATTGTAATAACTGATGTTGTGTGGAAAGCATTTTAGAGACACTGTGTGGAATGGTGACCATGCAATGAAGATTTTTACCCTTCTGAAGAAGGTATTTAAAGATTTAAAAATAATTAGCAGTGAAGAATATTATTGTCAGATGAGGAGAATTATGATAGGGAAGTTATGAAATATCAAACAATAAGTCCAATGTTGTACCATCAATTGCAAGGGAGTTAAAACAATGGCACTGTGGATGTGTTTGAGGGGGTCAGTAAGGGGAAACATCAAGCCAATCATAGATAAATAGTTTGCCAAAAAATCACATATTACCGGTATGTGAAATTACCTTTATACATGTATTTGTTAAAAGATATCTTATAATAAAAATTCATTTCTACCATATTAGCCATAATTCTAATAATAGTGAAGATTAACCCAGCTTCTCTTATGCGGTTTAGTAAGCCAGAGACCCAGGTCCCTTGAAATCAAGAGCTGAAGTTGGATCTTTGGAAAGTGTACCTATTCCTTGGTCTCTTCTCCCTGGAATTTCCTTAAGAGCATTCACTTCTTGTAAAGTTTTAGGGACTACAAAGCTATCTATATAGACATCCTACCCTTCCTCGATTTCTCAACTCTATACCTACGCGTGTCACACACTGTTCGTTTATCGCCCTCCAAACACTTCCACACCAACCACTTTGAAACATTTTCGCAAACTCACCTTTATTTTTTTTTCTTTGCTTATCCGTAAAAACAAACCCACACAGCCTGGAAAAATCGACCTCACTTAACAAGTCAGGATTCAGCACATAACCGGACCGAGATTTCGAACTAAACACAACGGCTGTATTTAAAATACGTATGGTACTGACGGTAAGGGAGTTTGGCGCGAAAGAAAGATGGTGCGTGCACTGCAGCAAGCCAGCAACTCCCACGATCAATCGACGTAGTTGCGTGGCCCGTGCAACGGAAATTTTCACGCTGTAGAAAGTTTCAGAAGTCGTGTAACGAACATGGACATCTAAAATGTCAGCTTGGCGTTGTATACTAGACAATGAAGTCATGCATCGCGTATCGTATCAGCAATAAAGATTTACGATACCTTGAAGAGATCGTCCTTAAAAATTCATCGGAGAGTGTTTGTTTCGTGTAGCCGTGCTAAAGGTTGTAATTTTTGCGGGTTGTTAACATTTTGTTCTGAAACTTTCCTCGAGAAACTTTCCCCGTTGAACGCGCTGCGCAACTATGGCGATCGATGAGGAAAACTACGTCGTGTAACAAAACAAAAGAGTCACCCGGCAGCTTCTCTTCGCTGATTGGCCAGAAAAAAATTTTTCTGGCCAATCAGAAGCAGGCAATTCAAACGCTTCTGGAACTGGTTCGGTAAGAGTAAGTGCCCAGGGGCTCGTCTCATCTTACAGAAAACTTTCACCACGAACATTTTATCGACCCGACTAACTGCCCCTGGGTCTCCGAGGATGCTGACAGTACTTCAACCGACAATTTCAGTATTTACGCGGAAACTAGCAGTTCAGAGCAAGATTTGCAAAACCTAGCCAGGACTTGTACTTCATCGGCAACAACACATAATTCACGAAAAGGGAATTAAATCGAAATCATCTTCGAAATAGGCGACCGTGACAAGGTCCAAGCGAACTACTAACAGTCTAAACGACGATCAAATGGAGGAATTGGCCTCGTGGAACAGTTATTTTTCGCGGGAAAAGCTTATCTAAAAATAAACTCACTTGTAAAAACGCCGTGGCACGAATTTATGGCAGTTGAACGCTTCGGGTTATGGGCTCCTGACTGGACTCGGTAATTTTGTTATTGGCCGTTTTCACACTAGAGCTAGAAATGGATTATCCGTCTGACTAGTCTCTGTACAGTCGCGCCCTCCCCACAGACACCCCTTCTCCGACTTTTTCTGAGGGGAGGGGGTGGCTGTACACAGGCTATCTGGAACGGATAATCCCGTCTGCAAAAGTCAGGCGGATTGTTCATTCAAAATTAAAACTATTTCATTTTCAAATTAAGACGTATTACCTATCTGACACGACGAATAATCAAACGGATAACCCGTCTCACACGAATAATCCGTCTCTAGTGTGAAAACGGCAATTAGTGTTATAATGAATGTCGCACTCCGGCCTTGAGTTGGGCGTTCGCGTGTCTGCTCAGTTTTGCTTTTTCACAAAGATTATTTTTAAATTGAATATTGACATTTCTATGTGTGAGATAACATTAGAAGTGGAATACTTTATAACAAGTATGATCTATCAAATGTTAAAATCTTTCAAAAGAATAGCTTATTTCACCCGAGATGATCCGAAGACCTTTATTTTGATTTAAAGATACAAAAAAATACAGGTTAAATAATATTTAACTTTTTGAAACAACAGAAGTTAATTTTTAACTTTTTTGTTAACCGTAACTGAAAAAAATTAACCGATAGCCGTAAAAGAGCCAAAATTTTAGCCGATAACCGTAAAAGCCACCACCCCATTGAGACCCTCTTATACGTTTCTGGGTAACTGACCACCTACCCATCTCCTAAATCAACATTTTGCCCTCAGTGCAGAGAAGTAAGTGTTGATGTTGGTTTGGGGGAAGGGTAGGAGGTCACTTACCCAGATCTACCCAGATACGTAAAACGATTCAAGCTCCCTAATGTAGAGACTGAGAGACGGCATGTCCAGTTATATAATTAAATCCATCGTGTTCTTACTCATCCTCCCCTCCCCTCCCCCAAAGGGGCTACAACAGAAAACTACTTACAATTTGATTGTCGATCATTATAGGTGATATCATCTTATGTTGTTTGTTTTTTCCTTGGGAGAAAAAGGAAAAAAATAGAGTTAAGAGGTTATACTTTGAAATCATAGATAAACCCACGAGTAACACAAACCTTTGTAGAAACCCTTCTCTCCATTCACCAGCCTCTGTTTGGTCTCAGATGAGGCTCGCGAGATTCTAACATGCGAACTCTGCAAGAAAACGCCGGGCAAAAATATCAAAATGTTTAGTAGCCGCGCGTAGTATTAATACATGCTACTTATTATCCGTAAGTGAGATCATTACAGGGTAATCTCAGTTGGAGGCCTTGATGTATTGATCGAGCGATAGCGATAACATAAAAAACGAAAGTAGGTTGAGTTTGATCGTCCGGGTTGAGTTTGATCAACCTACTTTTGAAATGACCCCTGGGTTCAAACCTTTCACAGTTATAAATAACAAAGTTGAAAAAATACATAGATGTATAAAACAAACTAGGACGTAATTATACCTCCAGCTCTACTCAATGAAAACACTAGCTAAGTTTTTTTGGGTTTTTGCATTTTGTCTTTTCCTGATACTTGCTTGAAGATTGGTCTTTCTAGCTAAGATAGCTAATTTTCTCTTTCAAGAAGAGCAACTTCCTCAAAAATGTTTTTATACCAGTCTATGTTATTCAAAATGCCGAAAAGCGAAGAGAATCCTGGGAAACAGTAGCCTAAAGTTAAGAGAATCACAAGCATAACTGCCATATTCTTATAAATTCGTATAACCCCGTAGGGGAAGCTACCGTCCTCTGATATCGGGCCGTTTATGGTATAATGTCAAGGTGTCTTCATCTCATACCTCTTCTTTGCATGTTTTCTCCATAGTAAAACAGTAACAACCGCTAACAGCACTACTACACAAGCAGACGCCATTGTAATTATTCCCTCAGTTGTCTTGTAAAATAGAGTGGGGGCGGGGGGGAATCTCATGCACAGCTGGCTTGACTGAGCGAATATTAAATACCTGAAACAACAACAACAACAACAAAAATCGTGAAAAGCCATTTGGTTATAGACCATTTTTTACATGACTTTATATTCGCCATCTTGGTGTCCCAAGCCAATCCTGCAGGAGTTGAACCTTTTTATGTGTAAGAAAGAAAAAACTTTCTATTGTTCCAATATACATGCCCAGTAGCTGCTGGCCAGTTGAGTGAAAACACCCTATAGCTATACGAAAAGTTTTTGAGTCAGGCTTTTGTACATTATGCTCGCATCCAATAAGAACTTTCGCCTCCCATCACTGTGTGAACTTGATCCTTTCCCCAATATTTTGCATTCTCTTAGGGTCCAAAGGTTTTCTCTCCTCATACGCTTCATACGAGTCACAGATCTATCTGGCAGTCTCTTCGCAAGCCTTTCATCGTCTTTTAAGCCCTACATCGTCCAAAATGGAGCCTAGTCACGCTTCCTGTCATAGGGTTTAGTTAAAATTGTTATATTTTCTTTAAAACACAGCGCCAACAACATGCAACAAGTCTTTTTTTATATATATACCTCGGAATCGTTTCAAGAAAGCACCTGACTTATACTGGATTGTATTCTTATCGTCCTTTGGTTTTTGTACCCTCCTTAAACACCAGTGTTTCCAATCTATGATTTGAGACAAACCTCCAGGGATTTGCTGGCTCCAAAACTGCCGCCCGCGATGCCTGACACAATCCGCTATCAAATTAAAGGCAGTTCTGCCGACAAATATTAAGATTTCTGTCCTTCAAAAATGATCTAACGATAAGTGGAAGGCTCTACTTTGTTACTTTTCTTAAAAACCACCTGACCGATTAGTCTTCTAAACTCTTTCTTTATGTCTCTTTTTAAAAAGGCATAAGCCAGCGGGTTAATGGCCGAGTTTAAAACCAAGACAGGAATTTTGTAGTTTTCATCATGGCATGGCGATGAGGTTATCGTAGTGCTAGTCTGGAATAGTATTAGAAAACTACAACGCAGATACATCCCATAGCAAACAAGAAACACTCCTATCACAAGACCCATCATCATTACTGCAGACTTCTCGTGATGGGTTTTAAAAGACACCTGATGGTTAAAACGTAACTGTTTTGCTAAGGTGTGTGCTGACCGATCATGTCTGCGTACGTGTAATATCAATGATACAAAGCATAGTATCAGTATAACACATGGAAGAATCTCAAAAACTATGGTCGTCACCCATATTGTAAAAGGACAGGTATGGTTTTGATATAAAACAACACAAAGGGTACTTCCTAGCACATTATAACTAACTGCTAGAACCCAAGAGAGGAAAATAGCTCGGGTAATTCGACGGCGAGTCATCAAAGTAATGTATTTTAGAGGATATACGATGGCAATAAAACGATCCAGTACTAAGCCGCATAAGTTTACAACAGACGTGTTACTAAACAACCACCTTAAAATATTCACCCAAGATCGCAAATGTTGAGGCCTGTCGCAGGTGTTTGTAATGTCGCATGCGAACAGAGAAGGAAGAACACTCAAATCAACACAGAAATCCGCTACTGCAAGTGAAACAATAAACGCGTTGGTTTTGGTGCGGAGATTTCGTCTGCTGCAAACGAGGAAGATTGTAAATCCATTTCCAGTGATAGCCAGAAATGAAAGAACCCAGCCAAGAATCCAAAACCAGGTCTCCATCTTAACAGTTAAAGGAAGTTCCTATCAACTGTACAATACAACTAACATCTTGCATAAATATCAGGGACACATGTAAACTCGTTACTATGGAGCGTTTTTACATGACGTCACGGCGGCCATATTGGTGTTCCAAAACAGTGAAACCGCGGCCTTGTTGGCGTGCCAAGCAATCCTGTGGGAGTTGACTGAACTCTTCTCCTCTGTAAATGCTCTCTTTTGTTCCAATAAATTTTCATAGTTGCTGGCCATGTGAGTGAAAACACTCTATTTGTTCTTTTAATCGTCTTTATTTGTAATAATTTGCTAATTAATGTCGTAATAATTTGTCTTGCGCTGTGCTGTAACAAAAATTTGCATCAGAACGATAATATATTAAACACCTAACGTTTCTTTGTGTGTTTGATAATAAAATAAGTACAAAATGTTTTAATAAATTCTTGGAATCTAAGACGTTGTTAAAGATAGAAAAGTGGTCTTTTTCTTATCGCTTAATTTCGAAGATTTTATCAGTTAGCGCTTTTTAATGTACCTTTCCAGCAGTAGACATCTCGTCCACTCTTTTAGGGTTGCCCGCCGGAGGCGGGGGCAGGGGGGGTTCTTCAGAAATTTTCGGGTGGTAATGTGCCGCTGGGACACTGGAACACCTAGCCTATACTTCTGGTTCAGCTGTATTTTGCTACTCCTTGAAACTAAACTAAACTTCCCAAATCCCTCCCTATCCAAGAGCTGCTCTCTGATTTCTATATCCATTCCCAGACTTAGCTGCTTGAATACCATACCTATAAAGCGGCACATTATATATCCCATCTGGTAGTACCCCACACCCCTTCCCCCCACCCGGCGGGGTTAGGTTGCCCACTCAGTTCTTTTATCACAAATTTTAAAGAATCTATAGAAAAAATATACATACATATACATACACGTAGCTGTAATAAAAAAAATACATTTTTCCTTTCTCCTTGATAAATTAAAGCCTGCTAGTTATTTTATATTTCAGATGCTACAAAAAGTTAAACTCAAAGCAAAGAAACAGCTTGGAAACTTGTTTGCTAAAGAAAACGATGGCCTTTCTCATCATGAGAAATAAAAGTACTCAGACCTGTTTGGTAGATGCAGATCGTACTAACGTTCTTAAACATTTCATTCAGGCTAAGCTAAATTGATCGGAATAAATAAATTTGCATCTGGAAGATAAATACATGTAAACTACTACTTAATTCACATGTTCTTTTTTAACAGTGCATCAAAACGGAGAAGGTGAAACCAAGTGTCTGCTAGTAGGATGTGAACATAGAAATATACTCTCACCATGCGATATTAAAGGTTCCATCTGATAAGAACTTTCTCCTCCCACTACTGAGTGAACTTGATCCTAAATCCTTCCCTAATATTTTACATTCTCTAAGGGTCCAAAGGTTCTTTTTTTTCTCTCCTCATACGCCTTTTTTTTTTTTTTCCAAATTCCAATTCGCGCTCAGTCAAGAGTCACAGATCCATCTGGCCGTCTCTTCTCAAGCCTTTCATCGTCTTTTAAGTCCTACACCCTCCAAAATTGAGTCACGCGTCCTGTGGTAGGCTTTAGTTAAAATTGATGTATTGTCTTTAAAACACAGCGCCAACAAGTCTTTTAAACTCTTTCTTTATGTCTCTTTTAAAAAAGGCATAAGCCAGCGGGTTAATGGCCGAGTTTAAAACCAAGACAGGAATTTTGTAGTTTTCATCATGGCATGGCGATGAGGTTATCGTAGTGCTAGTCTGGAATAGTATTAGAAAACTACAACGCAGATACATCCCATAGCAAACAAGAAACACTCCTATCACAAGACCCATCATCATTACTGCAGACTTCTCGTGATGGGTTTTAAAAGACACCTGATGGTTAAAACGTAACTGTTTTGCTAAGGTGTGTGCTGACCGATCATGTCTGCGTACGTGTAATATCAATGATACAAAGCATAGTATCAGTATAACACATGGAAGAATCTCAAAAACTATGGTCGTCACCCATATTGTAAAAGGACAGGTATGGTTTTGATATAAAACAACACAAAGGGTACTTCCTAGCACATTATAACTAACTGCTAGAACCCAAGAGAGGAAAATAGCTCGGGTAATTCGACGGCGAGTCATCAAAGTAATGTATTTTAGAGGATATACGATGGCAATAAAACGATCCAGTACTAAGCCGCATAAGTTTACAACAGACGTGTTACTAAACAACCACCTTAAAATATTCACCCAAGATCGCAAATGTTGAGGCCTGTCGCAGGTGTTTGTAATGTCGCATGCGAACAGAGAAGGAAGAACACTCAAATCAACACAGAAATCCGCTACTGCAAGTGAAACAATAAACGCGTTGGTTTTGGTGCGGAGATTTCGTCTGCTGCAGACGAGGAAGATTGTAAATCCATTTCCAGTGATGGCAAGAAGCGAAAGAACCCATCCAAGAATCCAAAACCAGGTCTCCATCTTAACAGTTAAAGGAAGTTCTTACCAACTGTACAATACAACTAACATCTTACATAAATATCAGGGACACATATCAACTAGTTACTATGGAGCGTTTTTACATGACGTCACGGCGGCCATATTGGTGTTCCAAAACAATGAAACCGCGGCCTTGTTAGCGTGCCAACCAATCCTGTGGGAGTTAACTGAACTCTTCTCCTCTGTAAACGCTCTCTTTTGTTCCAATAAATTTTCATAGTTGCTGGCCATGTGAGTGAAAACACTCTATTTGTTCTTTTAATCGTCTTTATTTGTAATAATTTGCTAATTAATGTCGTAATAATTTGTCTTGCGCTGTGCTGTAACAAAAATTTGCATCAGAACGATAATATTTTAAACACCTAACGTTTCTTTGTGTGTTTGATAATAAAATAAGTACAAAATGTTTTAATATATTCTTGGAATCTAAGACGTTGTTAAAGATAGAAAAGTGGTCTTTTTCTTATCGCTTAATTTCGAAGATTTTATCAGTTAGCGCTTTTTAATGTACCGTTCCAGCAGTAGACATCTCGTCTACTCTTTCAGGGTTGCCCGCCGGGGGCGGGGGGGGGGGCGGTTCTTTAGAAATTTTCGCGGGGTGGTAATGTGCCGCTGGGACACTGGAACACCTAGCCTATACTTCTGGTTCAGCTGTATTTTGCTACTCCTTGAAACTAAACTAAACTTCCCAAATCCCTCCCTATCCAAGAGCTGCTCTCTGATTTCTATATCCATTCCCAGACTTAGCTGCTTGAATACCATACCTATAAAGCGGCACATTATATATCCCATCTGGTAGTACCCCACTCCCCCTTCCCCCCACCCGGCGGGGTTAGGTTGCCCACTCAGTTCTTTTATCACAAATTTTAAAGAATCTATAGAAATAATACACATACATATACAAACACGTAGCTGTAATAAAAAAATACATTTTTCCTTTCTCCTTGATAAATTAAAGCCTGCTAGTTATTTTATATTTCAGACTTCATGACTATTTATGTTGGTTGTCTCCATCTCTTGTCCAATAAAGAGTTTAACTGTTTGCACATCATGCAGTTAGATAATTTACACAATTAAACAAATAAAAAATGGCGGAAATTTCTGGCAAGCTTCGCGAAGAGAATGAAATAGCCAGTGCTAATTACTACTCAAGACTATAACACACCACAGATGACAACCACTTTTTGCCAATTTTTGATGGATTACCAGTTCGAACACTCCAATGATTCCTTGCAATGAATAATGCTCTTATTCTCTTACATGAAATGTTTTCTTTGAAATATTAAATGTGAAGCCTATACCAGTACTGTAAGCTCATCTTTAATTCTGTCCGACTCCGTCCGCTGTTTTGAAAGTTTTTGATCACTGGGGCGATGTTTTGATTTGTTTGTTGATAAACGCAAGCGCGCCTTCTCATTGGTTGAAAAGTGTCGCGTGACCGGTTGGCCCTGTCCTTAAATTTAGGGATATTCCGGACTGCACATCCCTTAAATCGCCCCTGTATTTGCCGCCAGAACAGACAAAACGTTTAGGCATCGTTCGAGGTAAGCATACTGGGTAGCTTAGATATGAATATTTTGAAAGGAATGATAAAAACAGTTATTGAATTCGGCTTTTGTATGATCTGAAGAATTATACAGATCTATTCAGCCACATTCCAATACTTGTTATTATTTCTCAGCTGTCAGTCACGTTAAATTTTTAACCAATTTCCAGCCCCCATTTAACCCATCCCATGGCCTTCTCGGTTTTTTGTGGATTTAACTTAAGAATTCTTTTATCGATGAGCTTCAATGACCAACTATTTCACATCACTCAGGATACGATTCATTTTATCTCGATTACTCAGTCGTTCTATCGTTTTCCACAGCAATAAGAAAATAAAGGAGAGAAGTAAACAAGGCGCTGCAAGCATCGCCTACTCTAGCCTCCCCGCAGACGTCCTTTGGGGTTCGTTTGTCACGCATTCATTTCTCCCCCACGGACGTCTGCTAAACAGAGCCGACTTTTACGTTCTGGATTGTTTGAATAAGCCAATAAGCGGTTAGTTATTGTGTCACAATCAGCCAATCACGCGCCGTGATATAAGTGATGTCTCTGGATGTCTCTGGTATTCTCAAGTGAATTATTTATTTGCACGGCTATCTTCTACATGAGACGACTCAAATGTTTTGAAGAAATCACAGAAACGATGCAATAAAGCTGCAGTCAGCTGTATATTTTTTTCGGAAGTTGTGACTATAAAATAATCTGCTTTTCTTTGAAAGACTTCAGACAACAGTCTCCCACACGAGCGCGGAGCGGTTTTCAGCGCGGTCGAAAACAATAATTACTATTAACTCTGTATATATTCGAAGTATTAAGAAAAGATAACTTGTAAACGTGTATAGGGAAGATATTCAAAGCATTCTTCGAAAACAAAGGCCGTTTCCTTTTTTGCGAAATGTAATTCCACCAAGGTCATGGGTCGCGAACCAAGGACCAGTACGCAAAATTTGGTTATATTTTTTCAAGAGTCGGCAAAACAGAAAATTCGAAGTCTACAGCAATGTGCTTCCAACGGCAGAAAAACGTTTTTCTGAAAACTTGTTCTGCAAAAAGGCACGTCCTCCCATTGCGTTTTATTTATTCACAAGCTAAGTAAACATGACCACGGTGCCGCCGAGTCCAAACTTCAAGCTAGAACGACAAATTAACCTACCTGTCAACAAACTTTAATCTCGCTCCTTCAAAGAAAGAAAGAATGCTTATAATCAATAAATCATTGAACCTTTCATTGTTCATTGTATTTTATTTCTCGACGAAATATTTAATCATGCTCGGGAAAGTCGCCGACCAAGGACCACATAGTAACTGTACAAGTCACTCGCTAACATTTCCTCCACCGATCGATCTTCAACCAAGCTTCTGGGCTTCCGTAAACAACAGAGAAAGTCCCTCTATCGACAACCCTCATATTCTCTTTGCTAATATCACTGAGCGTTACAGCAGGAATACCAATATTTTCCAGCTTTGTAGATTGATCTTTCAAGATTTACCAGGGCAGAAACAACATCAACAGCAATGTCCAGTAGTTCCACGCAATATGTCGCAAACAAGGAGCAAAGCTTGAGAGATAAGGGATTTGCCAAATCCCGTCGGCAAATTTATGAACTCATCGGTCTTCGCTATAAAATTTGCAGGATAGCTTCTCTCTCATACTTGTTTAACTCTGTATTAATTACAAATTTCTCGCTCACTCGATCAAAAGCCTCACTGATCGTGAGAATCTTAAGAAGCGGCTCGGGTTACGTTTTACAAAAATCCGTAAACGGCCTGTGATTGGTGAACGTAAAAGTCGGCTCTGTTTAGCAGACGTCCGTGGGGGAGAAATGAATGCGTGACAAACGAACCCCAAAGGACGTCTGCGGGGAGGCTACGCCTACTCGAGCTGGCTCCTAAGTGGGATCTAATAACTAATTCAGTAACTTTCATTTGTGAGTACAAACAAAAAAACCCACGATTGAGCTATAAGAGACGTCACTGTTTACAAACATCCTTTAATTGTTAGTCACATTTGTAACGAGTGAAACAAACGAATTTTTAGTGTAACAACCAATGCGCTTCTTTGGCGGTACAGTAACATTAGGCACATTAATATTAGGGACCTTTAGTAGCAACAAAGGCAAAGGGAACGTCATAAAACCAATAGGTTTATTAAGCAAAACAACGACTTTGCACGTACATCACGCTTTTTTGTACATTTCTTTACTGTCACTTCACGACTACAACGTGAAAATGCCTAATTTCACGTTTAATGGAGTACGTAAACAAGCGACGACTTATTTTTCTTTCTCTTTCTAAACTTGAGTGCGGTCTCCAAGAAATTAACTCCAGGGAAATTTGCCGGCATTTAACATTTTCAGCGAACTGGAATAAACTCGACAGAGTTTCTAAAAAAGGAGAATTCATTTTTAAAGTAGCGTTTTCGCTGCCGTCGCCGTCGTCAATGCTAAAGCTCCCTATCAAAATGTGACGGCAGCGTGAGTATTGCTTTACCATATATGCGGTCTGCACGTTCTGATCAACTAAATCTTATTTTACATAATATTATCCGTTCTCACCCGGGGAATGCAAAACTACGGCTATGTTTTGAAGGCAGTTTTTCTCAAAAAATAGCAAGTGTATTTCTGTGCTGTAGTAAAGTACCAGCTGGACCATTATAAGAAAATAAAGGGAACTGTTATATTATCAATGCATGGGGTATTATAAATGGCCTTGAATATAAAACCAAAAGTGAACCGGAAGGCGTTCGTTCACTACCGGTATCGTTTACGTTTTAATTCAATCACTCAATCACTTGCTGATGTCAGTATTTTATTTATTACTTAGATAACATACTTTTAAAGTTGTTCCTATTCACAAGCTAAGCCTTACTGGCTTCCTTGGGCTCCCTTGCCTCTTTTTTTAATTAATTTTATGGCAAAATGATAATAAAACAACGAAAAACAATTTCTACCAAGTTATTGATAGCTTGATCAGGGCAAGACTATGTGAAACGTTTTGTTTTTGGACCAATCAGAAAGAATAGAATTTGGATATTTTACACACATTAATCTGACAAACAAATGGTTTATACCCTCCTTCCAGGGAGAAAAACTAATATCAATAATAACAAACTTCTTAATAAAAGGGGATTTTCAAGCATCAGTGAAAATTATTATGACACCTCATGCTAAAGTAGTAAAATTAAATTCTAAAACAAAAGTTACAAATCTTTGATGAATTTATATATATATTCATTTTTACTCAGGTTTGTTAGTAGTAGTATTTTCAGTGCATTTGATCATACCAGTTTAGTATGTTAATTTGCGCAATATCAATATCATTAACTGGAAGGCTTTATTTGTTTATCTTCCTTTTTGAAAAACGTTGCCGTTAATTAAAGTCTTCAAAAGGTATTGAAGGTCAACTATTAAAATACCCACGATTGCCCGCGTCGAAGAAAGATTATGCGTGGGCCGGCTGCAACGCAGGCTATCTCGACGTAAGCGTCTGGTTGCACCTTTGTGAATTATTAGCCATGGTAGAACACGTGTTAAATTTACAATTCTTGAAATATACTGAATGGCATAAGAAACACAGAAGTTTCGATATGACCTCAAACAACACTGTTCTGCAAAATTATTAATATATCTTTATGTCAAGGTAAAATTTTTCTGTTGTACTTCCATTTCTTGTCGCTTAATTTTTCGCAACTCTTTCTGAATATCATAGCGTCCCAGTGGTGGGCAACTCTTCCCCTGTTTGGTGTTGGACTGCCTAGTGAGCAACCAGCCAACAGTCAATTTTGTGCCACGATTTATACAGACTAAGAAAAGAAACTATTTTCGTTCGTTTAGTTTTTATTTAGCATGGGAAATTAGAAGCTGACAAATTTTGCCTAAAAACTATAATGAAACATGCATTATTTTTTCCCCTTGAAAAAAATCATTTTACTTTAATAAGACTTAATTCATAACAATTTTATGCTGGTCCTCTTTATCTCTTGACCAATGAACAGCGCAGCTGTCATATTAATGACAACTGTCATAACAATCATAATATTTCAAAGGCTCCCGAAAGGCACTCATTATTAATCTTTTTTTTTTAAGTTGAATCACAGGTGGCCCTGCTCGAAATTTGACCATGGGCAATGTTGCGTAACGTTCCAATATAAGGATTTGTATAATACGGGAAAAAAGATAACTTCTTCTGGTTGCGAATGTGAAAGGATTTATATAGTGTTTTATTTTTACTTTTTTACATTTTTTGTTTTTGTTTTTTGACGTGTGTTTCTCCTTCTTTCTTCATACCAGTTAATCTTATAAGATCCTTTCAGAAATAGAAAATGATTTATTTTGTACATAACTATTTTCATTTAGTTATCTTTCATCGCCTTTTCGATCATCTAGTACAGTGGATTACCCTCGATATAACGAAACGTCGTTATAGCGAACACATTTTACCGGTCCCTTGGCCCTTCGTGATATGGAGGTTCCACTGTCATGATCAATTCTATGAATTTCTCAATGCTGATTCAGGCATGTTAACGTCAATGACGGGAGGACAAAAACCATGTTTTACATCGCTCACCACGATCTATTTTGTCTCCAAATTGGCAAAAACAAAATTTTAAACACCCATTGTGAACACAAGACAAAAGAAGTAATCTTTCTAACTGAAAACATGGTGAACTTTTATTTACGGTTTCCCCATAGGTATTAACATCCTCAAAAACTAATAGCAAAAACCAGAAAGGGTATTTAAGTAAGTTCCCAGACACATTATGACACATTTCGCGATTCTCCGTCTCTTTTGCCATTTGTTTATTTGTTTGTTTGTTCATTTTCTGCCATAAAACGTTCGTATCCTACCACTTAATATGATAAAAACTGGGATTGAATCTCAAACTAAGCGTGGCTTCCACGTTAGGTGTATTTCGTGTCCTTTCAAGCTTTCTCTAAGAAGAGTATTCTCAGGGTCCTATGGGTCTTGCTCCTTCCTCAAATACCAATATTTCCAAATTTCAGTTCAGATGGAGTCAAAAAAGACGAGCCATACATAGATTTGCCAGCTCTAAGCATGCAGCAAATTTCAAGTGTAAGTACTTTTCTATACGAGCGAGCTACTAAGATGCCTCCTAGTGTCCAGCACGTACGTGGAAGGCTTAACTTGGTTGCCTTTAAAAAACATATCTATAGAGATAAGTCTTCTAAACTCTTTCTTTACATCTCTTTTGAAAAAAGCATAAGCCAGGGGGTTAATTGCCGAATTTAAAACCAAGACAGGAAATTTGTATTTTACATCGTTGCATGATACCATTCCAGTAGTGTCGAATAGTATTAGAAAACTACAGTGCAAATACATTCCGTAGGTAATAACAAACACTCCTATCACAATACCCATCATTATTACAGCAGACTTCTCGCCGTGATAGGTTTTAAGAGACACACAGCGATGATTATATCGTAGCTGTTTCGATAAAGTGCGTGCCGACCCATAATGCTTGCGTACACGAACTATTATTGAAACAAAACTGAATACCATCAGCGTAGATGGGAGAAACTCGAGAAAAATTACATCCAGCCAGCAAAAAATAACATCAACCAGTCTCGTTTTTAAACTAACACGAAGTGAAAACTGAAGCACCTCAAAACCAGCTGTTGTAGTCCACGAGAAAAAAATAACTTGGATGATGTGACGGCGAGTCATAAAAGTAATGTATTTTAGAGGATGGACGATGGCAATAAAACGATCCAGTACTAAGACGCATAAGTTTACAACAGACGTGTAACTAAACAACCACCTTACAAAATTTACCCAAGACAGCCAATGTTGAGGCCAGTGGCAGGTGTTTGTAAAGTCGCATAAAAACAGAGAAGGAATAACACTTAAACCAACACAGAAATCCGCCACGGCAAGTGAAACTATAAACGCGTTGGTTTTGGTTCGGAGATTTCGTCTGCAGCAAACGAGGAAGATTATAAATCCATTTCCAACGATAGCCAGAAATGAAAGAACCCAGCCAAGAATCCAAAACCAGATCTCCATCTTAACTGTTAAAGGAAGTTGTTAATGACTAGAGATTATAAACAACACCTTGCATAAATATCAGGTGGCATTTATTTTTTACTATCCCGAGGGGGGAGGGCACTCAACGAAGTTTATACAGCGAGGCTGTGCCGCGATGTCCAATCCCCCTTACCCTTTTATATACCAGTTACCCCTTTTGTATACCTTCTACTGACAGATAGTACTCCTCTCATATACCTAGTTTAGACGTTTAATTGCTGTATTTGCACCTTCTTTTGAATATAAATCAATCACGGAACTAGGAAGTTTTCTTGTCTCTTTCACATCCACAAAATATATCTGCTTGTCCTTTTTTTGGTTCTATTGCAGACCAAAAAGACAGACTTCCATAGTTTTTTCATATACTTAAACTAATAAAACCCCTGCCCTTTCATATATTCACCCACTAAAGCCTGGAAAGGTACCCCTCTTGGGTGGATCCTCCCCCCCGTATAGGCCATTATAGGGAGTACCACCCCCCCCCGGCGGTACTAATCGTTTTTATTTTTACTAACGGTTCTAATGAACGTCATGATAATTTGTATTGTGCAGAGCCGTAACAATCAATTTGCATCAAGAAGAAATATAACTGCCTATAAGTAGTTTAATGATAAGGAATACATTTCAAACAACGAAAATAGTAATTATATTCTAAGTCAAGAGCTGTGACAAATGATCGTGAGATTTCTTTGGGATGAACGTAACTTTCGGTAACTTGTTGAAGATCGATCCAGTTAAGAAATTTAATCGAACGTTTTCTCGCTAAAATGTCTTTATATAGATACAACATGTGACAGTAGCTGGCGTTTTTTCCTGACAGCCCGCTTAAGGACAATCCATTAGTTAACGGACATTATGTCATGTCCTCTTGGTGGGTTCCGCTGTATCTTCCCTTTTTTTGATTCGGTCAAGGTTAATTCCTATTGATATTCATTCAAAAAATTTCTTGCTGCAGAATAAGGCGCTGCAAAAAACAAGATGCTCTGGAGATTAGGATGAGCTTTTTAGTGCTTAAGAAAGTGGCGGAAATTTTTACACATTGCGAAGAGGAAAAAGCTAGTACTTAGTACTGCCTAAAAACTAGCAAGGACAGCAAAAATAAAGCTTCACGGATCACAACAGTGCAATTTGAAGAATATCTGAAGGACTGAACATCACATTAAAGACTTAAATCTTCCCAGCTGTATTTACCGAGGAACAGACAAATGAAGATGGAAACTTAAGAGGCCCTGCCCGGGAGGGGTCCCATGTCGCTCGTCTGAAATTTTAAAACGTCTCGTGTCGGTGTTTATAAATGCTTCATGTTGCTGTCAAAAATTGAACGAAAATTCTTTGTCTTTGTCGGAATTTTAGAAAAGGGGATAGAGATCTGTTGTGAAGAAACCATTACAGTTCTGCAGTTTCTCAGTTAACATTGCATGTCGCGTCTCGCATTGCCATTCACAATTGAGTGATCCACGTTCAACATTTTAAGACTAAAGGTGGATTTCCACTGCCACGTATAGGCTATATGAAAGGCAAGGCATAAACGTAAAAGTTGAACCTCGCTCAACACGGTTACGCGTGGCCTTTCATACATTGCCTGTATTTTATTTACGTGCGTAAAATTTACCAGCGTTTGCACGGAAAATCAATCAACCTTAAATAACTGACCTGATAAATTGTGAAGGAACGGTGGTCTACTCTGTGAAAGAGATGTATGTTTCATGTCTAAAGAATGGAAAGCGGCAGTTAGAAACAAGAGGAAATATGCCATTTAGTTTGCAAAAGACCGCACACCAGAAAACTTTGAACTTAAAAAGAAATAACGAAATATTGCTACTCGTGAACGAAGGAAAGCTCTTACTGCATACTGGTACAAAAAGTCTGAAGAAATGAAGTCCAAACCACATGACTTTTTCGATACATTTCAACCTTTCCTGAACAACAAAACAAAAGATGCTAATCCAATATTCCTTAAAAACAAACATGAGGATGGCATTATTGAAGATCAAAGGCAAGTTGCTGAGACTCTCGCCGACTATTTCTCCACTATTGCATCTGATATCGGTGGCAACCATGTGATCAGTTTAACTGAAAATGAATTTAACAAGCACAGTAGTGTTCAAATGATCGAAACCATCTATAGTACTCTTCACTTCAATTCAAACATATAAATACAAAAGACACAAGATTTGTTTGAAAACCTCAATCCTCGAAAATCTTGTAGTGACACTGGACTAATGCCTAAATTAGTGAAGAAAGTTGCAGAGGGTATCGCACCATCAGTGACGAATCTTTACAACAGATGTATTGAAAATAGTAACTGGCCAGCTATATGGAAAAGGGGAGAACTCACTCCTATTTTCAAGAAAGGGGACAAGCATAATGTAGAAAATTATCGACCTATCACGACGCTATCGATTATTGACAACGTTTTTGAATCACTGCTTAGCAAACAAATAACCCATTATTTTGACCCTACATCTCCAAGATTGACAGCATACAGAAAGAATCACAGTTGTGACACTAGCAAGACTTACAGAGGACTGGAAACATGCTATCGACAGTAAAGAATTAGTGACCATTCTATCTACAGACATGAGTAAGGCCTTTGACTCTCTATGTCACAATTTAGTCATCAAGAAGCTCAAAGCATATGGGTTCACTAATCAATCATTGGATCTAAGGGACGGACCATTAGAAACGTTATGGGGGGGAAGGGGAATTTTTGAGCCGCAGGAATTTTTTTTCGTTATCAAATTCCTTGTTTGAATTTTTTTTAGGCCATAGCATGAATATTTTTTAGGATTAATTGGCTTGCATGAATTTTTTTCATTTAATTTTCCCTTGCGCGAATATTTTTTTTGTACTTCGCCCGCCCCCCCCCCCCCCCCCCATAAGTTTTCTAATGGTCCGTCCCTAATTCGATCGTTTCTGAATGACAGATACACTTACTTACTTACTCTGTGAGAGCGGTTGGAAGGTAGGTGGTTAGGTTACCTGCTTCCTGGTCTCTCCACCATCGTCAACGCCGTGTTGCTATAACAGACAGCCTGTTTAACTTAATCATGTTTGCAGATCATTTATATTCCATTTCCGAGTTGTTTATTTATTTGTGTTTCGAGAGCAGAAGGAGAAATACCTCATGCTTTCTTTTAACGAGAAGTCAGCGGCAATTTGATTTAAATACACTAAGACAGAAATCGGATTTTTGCGTACTGTCTTATGGGTCTTGCTCCTTTCTTAACCCTTTAAGTCCCAATGGTGACCAACATCAATTTTCTCCCAACAATATCCATACTTTGTCAAGAGATAAGGTTATGAGAATTTATGTAATGATCACTTAAGAGAAAATGCTTTGATCTGCTATCAAATTCTCCCAACTAATTCTTAAAGGAAATGTATGGAGATCAGTTTGGAGAATTTGTATGTGGATATTGGGGCTTTAAAAAGGGTTAAATATCATGATTCCAAATTTCAACTCAGCGGGAGTCCAAAAGGGCCACATATTGGCCAGTTCTAAGCTTGTCACTCTCTTTATTCCACTTCAATTAATGTTATGACCTACAGTGTAGAAAATGAGTCAAACACATACGTGCGAGGGCTTCACTTGGTAAGCTTTTTTTAAAAACTTCTTCTTTATGACTGCCTCTTTTGAAAAAGGCATAAGCCAGCGGGTTAATAGCCTCCCACGCAGGCCTTTTTAGGGGAGCTCGTATTTCTTCCCTCCCCACAAACGCCTGCTCAACAGAGAACAATATTCCTTTCCCACGCTTAGCCAATCACGTTGTACTTTCCAAATTCTGGAAAGTTGACCTTGACCGCAGGGTAACCCGATAATTACGCGATCTGCAATAGACTTTGAGAAACCTTGATGACCTCTAATAAATGTTAGACTCAGAGCGACAAAAGTAAGATTTACTCAGTCAGATTTTAGAATTCTCCGTGCACTTCATAACCTTAGCGAAGGAAAGAAAAGAAGAAAAACGGTAACTCTAGGGTCACGTTTTTTCACTATCACGAGCTTATGAGTCATGTTTAGCCTGTCAACACTTTATTTTAAAACCGTTGATTGGTCACTTACCACGCAAATGTAACAATGGGAAAGGAATGTTGTTCTGGGTTGAGCAGGCGTTTGTTGGGAGGGAAGCAATACGAGCTCCCCTAAAAACGCCTGCGTGAGAGGCTAGCGGGTTAATGGCCGAGTTTAAAACCAAGACAGGAATTTTATAGTTTTCATCATTATATCGTGATGAGGATAGTGTTAGAAAACTACAACGCAGGTACATTCCATAGAGAACAAGAAACACTCTTATCACAAGACCCATCATTATTACTGCAGACCTCTCGTGGTGGAATTTAGAGGACATCTGATGGTTAAAACGTAACTGTTTTGCTTAAAACCAAGAAAGGAATTTTATAGTTTTCATCGTTACATGCTGATGAGGATAGTGTTAGAAAACTACAACGTAGGTACATTTCATAGCAAACAAGAAACACTCTTATCACCAGACCCATCATTATTACTGCAAACCGCTCGCGATGAGTTTCAAAAGACGCCCGATGGTCCGGTGGTTAAAACGTAACTGTTTTGCTATTAGGTGCGTGCTGACCGATCATGCTTGCCTACATGAAAAATCATTGATACAAAACTGGTTATAATCAGAGCACATGGGAAGATCTCGAGTGAAATTATATACAGCCAGTTAAAAGGAGCAGTGGCAAGACTCGTTTTTAAACTAAAACGAAATGAAAACTGAAACACCACAAAACCAAATGTTATAGTCCAAAAGAAGAAAATAGCTAAAGGACAATTCGACGACGAGTCATAAATTAAGAAATGCACTTTAGAGGATAGACGATAGCAATCAAACGATCTAGTTGTAAATTGTATAAGTTTCCAAGGGAAGTGTTACTAAACAGCCACCTTATAAAATTCACCCAAGATAGCAAATGTTGAGGCCAGTAGCAGGTGTTTTTGCCGTAATGTCGCAGAAAAATAGAGGAGGAGTTCCGCTCAACTACAACACAGAAATCTGCCACGGCGAGGGAAAGAATAATCGCGTCGGTTTTGGTGCGGAGATTTCGTCTGCTGCAAATGAGCCGAGGAAGATTTTCAATTTATTTCCAGTGATGGTCAGTAATGAAAGAAACCAGGAGAGAATCCAAAACCAGGTCTCCATTCGTGTTAACAGTTAACAGTCCGGGCCACAACCAGATCTGGATATATAATTTCCTGCAGTGTGATTGGTCCAGACGGCAACCAAAACATTGATTTGACCGCCTAAGGACTAAGGTCGACAGAAATGTCGAAGCAAAGAGCGCTATGGCTGGGATGTTCCTTGAAGAAAAGTAACAGCATGCAATATCAAACCGATTAAGCGAGATGATTTTATGCGTCTTAGCGTTCGATTTACAAATATCAAGATGATAATGATCGAGGAAGGTTTCTGCAAAAACGCCTGGACTTCTGATATCAAGAGACCCGAAGCAACTCGACGTCACCGATCGAAAGGGAAGAGTAGGGAATTTGAATACTTGAAATACTGATACCTTTTAAGTGGAAAGGTATAAAGAAGTCGTGTTTGGAGTACTTTTTGCAAGCACCGCTTCGGCCTAGAGTAGTGTGTTTTATGCTTCTTCGGGAGCAATACCATACGCGCTAAAATCTAATTGCGATCGAAGGAGTGCTGAATATTAATTTTCAATATTTAAATCGTCAAACACTTTGGATTAATATGCGAAGGTAAAAAAAGAAATAAAATTTCTGTAAATTGCACTAACGAAGGGTCGTAAACAGTAATTAATCAATGTCTGTCTTTTCGTGTTGCAAAACCCATTATTGATGAAAATAATAAAATACCATTCACCAGTTCAGAGGTGGACTTTATCGTGCTCTAATAGCAATAAAGTGGGGTGGTAGGCCTACACGACTTTTACCTCATGCCAAAACGCTGCTCGTTCCAATTACGTTTTTTTCCTCTGCTGGGTACACTATGATCTGGAAGGTTGCACATTTTCACTGAGCAATTGTGTTTTTAGCCACTTGTTTCACACTGAGAGTGGCACACATATCGATTTACTGTGGTTTTTGTATCTGGTCTGAAGGATTTTCCTTCTAATGCAATAGCATTTTCTGCGACCTCAGTTTTTGAAGCGTAAAGCATTTTATTACGGCTGAATAAGGGTTCTAATTTTCTCCAAAGTGCCTTCTGGATCTGAATAACTAAGCGATTTTTGTTACTCCGTGAATGTGAATAAAAATCGGGTTGTTTTTTTTGCAAAGTTGTATCACGCTGGGCCCAGCTCATGAGTTTTCTTTGCAGGATGTTAAATTATCACGGATAGTGATTTACAGATACAAAATTATAAGAATTAAGTGCAGCTTCAGCTGAAGCTGCATCAACTATGGAGAAATGCATTATGACTCAGTAGATTCCAGCTTGGTGTTTTTCTATAAATGCGAGTCTTCTGACTGGAGCGCGTATTCCCTTTCTTGGTAACAGCTGAATAGCTTTTGAATAAGCTTAACAGTGTTTGAACTGTTTTGTTATTGCCACTTTTTGATCATCAGGCAAGACCATGGTTACGGTTCTCCACGAACAAACCGGCGGCATCTTTTTGCCGCAAAAACAAGTTGCTTTTGCTTTTCCATCCGACTGCAAGATAACATAAAATAAACATGGCGTTACAATGAAAACCAGCGCAACTGACTGTTGCATCTTCCAAAGCACAGCACTATTTGAATTCGCTATGCACTACACCAAAAAGACCACCATCAACAAGCAAATTTTATGTAGATTTCAAAAAAAATTTTTTCAAGGATCAGAAAATTGAAACTCACTTTCTTTTTTTAGATGTTTTGTGCCTTGTCCGGCATTTCTTTGAGCTGAAAAACTCTCGCGCTCGGTCGTTTTACCTCCCAAGAACGCACAAAGGTTCATCGGACGGCATTTTTTCTTCACACCCCTGATTTCGCATCGTCTAAAGTCACCGCTCTCAAAGTAGTATGGGGAAAAGACACCTCTAGGCGCAGCTAAGAGCCTGGAAGTGACCTTCCCTTGTTTCTCGGCGTGGGCGCCATTTTGCAAATGTGGGTGACCTCATCATATATCCAGATCTGGTTGTGGCCCGGACTGGTTAAAGGAAGTCCTTATCAACCATAGATTACAAACTAGTAATAACTAAAGGTTACTGAGTGCGGGCGGCAACGATCGAAGGTTAAAACGCTTTTTCACCATCACTGTGCTTAAGTGTGCTTTACGTGCGTTTCACGTGAGAGATAGTCAAAACACGCGTGATCAGATTACGAGTGATAGAAGGTCCAAACACGCGTGATCAAATTGCCTTCTGTATATTCGATTCATTCTTTGTGGAAGTCCAAACGAATGCTGGCTACATACATGTGACGCATGTGAAATAATTAGTAACTAGTAATAACCAAAGCTTAGGGAGTGTGGGCGACAACAATCGAAGGTCAAAACGCTTTTGCTCCATCGCTGTGCTTTGCGTACGTTTCACGTTACATATGATTAAAACACGCGTGATCAGATTACGAGGGGCAGAAGGTCGAGACGCGTGTGATCAAATTGCGTTCTGTGCATTCCCTTCATTCTTACTGGAGGTCCAAACTAATGCTGGCTACATATACATGCGACGCATGCGTAATAACAACCTAATAATAATAATAATAATAATAAAGTCTTTATTCATCAAGAGATAAAAATACATATCTTTTGTTACAAGTAAGTGTAAGAAATTTAAAAAGTTAAAAAGTAAGAAATAAAAAAAAAAAAAAAAAAAAACCTGGAGATTAGGATTGCGGGCTCCTCTTGTCGCTCGCAATAACGCTTTTGGGTAAAAAGCAGGGTCACATTTATCAAATTGACGTATTCCTAAGTTAGCAAGAGCTAGAGCAAATGTGGACCGTCACGTGGCAATAGCGCTAAAACATCTGTCAGTCAAACAGGACAAAGTCAGGCACGTGAGTTATCCCTTTACTGCAATTTATTGTTAACTTGGTTCACTAAATAATTGCGAGATCATTGTATTCTTATTTGCGACAGTTCTTTATTAGAAACTGCGACAGGTGTTTCAAATTACGGCAAAAGTTAGACAGCAATTTATTAGAAGAAGTTTTTTCGTTTTCGCTATCCAATCAAAAGCGAGTAGGTAAAATTGCATGACTGTCGAAAAAAATACATATATATGAGATGCTACAAGAAGTTAAACTCAAAGCAAAGAAACAGCTTGGAAACTTGTTTGCTAAAGAAACCGATGGCCTTTCTCGTCATGAGAAATAAACTGGTACTCAGACCTGTATGGTCGATGCAGATCGTACTAACGTTCTTAAACATTTCATTTAGGCTAAGCTAAATTGATCGGAATAATTTGCATTTGGAAGATAAATAAACCACTACTTAATTCACATGCTCAAAAATGATTTTACTCGATTCTCGATTCATGCAGAATATTTCTTTTTTAACAGTGCACCAAAATGTATGGAAAAAGGGAAACCAAGTCTCTGCTAGCAGGATGTGAACATAAAATTATACTCTCACGATGTGATATTAAAGGTTCCATCTGATAAGAACTTTCGCCTCCCACCACTGTGTGAACTTGATCCTAAGTCCTTTCCCTAATATTTTACATTCTCTTAGGGTCCAAAGGTTCTTGTTTTTTTTTCTCCCCATACGCCTGTTTTTTATTTTTTTTTCTTTACAAATTCCAATTCGCTTTCAGCCAAGAGTCACAGATCCATCTGGCAGTCTCTACTCAAGCCTTTCATCGTCTTTTAAGTCCTGATCCTCCAAAACTGAGTCACCCGTCGACCTGTGGTAGGGTTTAGTTAAAACTGATGTATTTTCTTTAAAACACAGCGCCAACAAGTCTTTTAAACTCCTTCTTTATGTCTCTTTTAAAACAGGCATAAGCCAGCGGGTTAATGGCCGAGTTTAAAACCAAGACAGGAACTTTGTAGTTTTCATCATCGCAGGGCGATGAGGATAGTAATAGAAAACCACAACGCAGATACATCCCATAGCAAACAAGAAACACTCCTATCACAAGACCCATCATTATTACTGCAGACTTCTCGTGATGGGTTTTAAAAGACACCTGATGGTTAAAACGTAACTGTTTTGCTAAGGTGCGTGCTGACTGATCATGCCTGCATACATGAAATATCATTGATCCAAAGCAGAGTATCAGTATAACACATGGAATAATCTCGAAAACTATAATGGTCAGCCAAATTGCAAAAGGACAGGTCTTGTTTTGATATAAAACAATACAAAGGGCATCCATTAGCACATTATAACTAACTGCTAGAACCCAAGAGAAGAAAATACTTTGGGTAATTCGACGGCGAGTCATAAAAGTAATGTATTTTAGAGGATGGACGATGGCAATAAAACGATCCAGTACTAAGACGCATAAGTTTACAACAGACGTGTTACTAAACAACCAGCTTATAATATGCACCCAAGATCTCCAATGTTGTGGCCAGTCGCAGGTGTTTGTAAAGTCGCAAAAAAACAGACAAGGAATAACGCTCAAACCAACACAGAAATCAGCCACGGCAAGTGAAACAATAAACGCGCTGGTTTTGGTGCGGAGATTTCGTCTGCTGCAAACGAGGAAGATTATAAATCCATTTCCAATGATAGCCAGAAATGAAAGAACCCAGCCAAGAATCCAAAACCAGATCTCCATCTTAACTGTTAAAGGAAGTTCTTATTACCCATAGATTATAAACAACACTTTGCATAAATATCAGGGTAGAGTTTATTTTTTACTATCCCGAGGGGGAGGGCACTCAACGAAGTTTTATACAGGGAGGCTGTGCCGCGATGTCCAATCCCCCCTACCATTTTATATACCAGTTACCCATTTTGTATTCCTTCTACTGACAGATAGTACTCCTCTCACATACCTAGTTTAGAAAACTGCATGACTTTAACTGCTGTAAATGCACCTTCTTTTGAATATAAATCAATCACGGAACTAGGAAGTTATCTTGTCTCTTTCACATCCACAAAATATATCTGCTTGTCCTTTTTTGGTTCTATTACAGACCAAAAGGACAGATTTCCATAGTTTTTCATAAACTTAAACTAATAAAACCCTTGCCCTTCCATATATTTACCTACTAAAGCCTGACAAGGTAACTATAGATTATAAACAGCACCTTGCATAAATATCAGGGTAGCATTCATTTTTTACTATCCTGAGTGAGGGCACACAACGAAGTTTTATACAGGGAGGCTGTGCCGCGATGTCCAATCCCCCTAACCCTTTTATATACCAGTTACCCCTTTTGTATATCTTCTACTGACAGATAGTACTCCTCTCATATACCTAGGTTAGACGTTAATTGCTGTTATATTTGCACCTTCTTTTGAATGTAAATCAATCACGGAACTAGGACGTTTTCTTGTCTCTTTCACATCCACAAAATATATCTGTTTGTCTCTTTTTTGGTTCTATTACTGACCAAAAGGACAGATTTTCATAGTTTTTCATACACTTAAACTAATGAAACCCTTGCCCTTTCATATATTTACCTACTAAAGCCTGAACGAGTACCCCTCTTGGACGGAGCCTCCCCCCGTATAGGCTATTATAGGAAGTACCAGCCCCCCGGTCGTCCTAATCGTTTTCATTTTTACTAACGGTGCTAATGAATGTCATGATAATTTGTATTGTGCAGAGCCGTGACAATTAATTTGCGTCAAGATGAATTATATAGAGGATATTACACGGTGGCGCGAAGATATGAATTTTATTTTCGAGTGGCAGAACAATATTTTACGAACGAGCGCAGCGAGTGAGTAAAATATTGTTTTTGCCACGAGAAAATAAAATTCATATCTTCAAGCCGCCGTGTAATGTTCTTTTTATTATATAGACAAAAAGACATCGATAAAATAATAGACGGAAATGACCGAAATTACGTCATCGATAAACTCAAGTGTGAGATTATGGAAAATAAACCAGACTGTAAATTAATCTGCTTATAAGTAGTTTAATGATAAGGAATACATTTCAAACAACGGAAATAGATACAAAATGTCTTCAGTTGGTAAATTCTAGGAATCTACTACATCACACAAAATTCGGCTTTTATCAATTACAAAGTTTTTTGTTTATTGTTGTCATCGTAAGAGCGATTTTAATTAAAACTATATTTTCATCTGATTTTAATCCATAATAATAATAAATAATAATAATAATAATCTTTATTTCTTAAGATAAAATTACAAATCCTAAGTTACAATATAAACTCCAAAAAAAAAAACTATTTACATATCATATCTAAAAATTATTCTGTTACTAAAAACGTTCTTAAACCTGTCAGTGTAGATTCTAGGGACAGAGACTGACGTATTTCTAAGATTGTACCTCGTGTTCTTTTCCTTACGTAAAAACTGGAAGAACGGGCATTCGGGGTCATTCGATCTTTTTTGTGGAGTGTCTTGTCCGCCTTCTTCTAGCAAGTCCCTGATATTTACATTCTTGGACATAAACTTTCTTTTCATACACCGGTCCAAAAAATTCTGTATTACAGAAAGGTCGGAATCTGGGGCACCATAAGCCGGCAGAGCGTAACAAAAATTTGGTAAAACTATTGCGTTAAAAAGGTGATCTACTTCCTCCTGGGACATTCCTTCCTTACGTAAAGATCCTAATACGAATAATAACTTGTTCGCCTTAATTACCTTCGCGCGCACGTGACTACTGTATTTAGCCAATTACAGGTGAAAATTTTGTAGCGATCGGACAAGTAAAAAACCACTTTTTAGACGATTGAATAATATCGGTATGGCCTCTGAAAAACTGTATCGAAACACCTTAAGTAAACTTAAAAAGTAATTATATTCTAAGTTAAGCGCTGTGACAAATAATCGTGAGATTTCTTTAGGATGAACTTAACTTGTTGAAGATCGATCCAGTTAAGAAATTAAATCGAACGTTTCCTCGCTAAAATGTCTTTATATAGATACAACATGTGACCGTAACTGGCGTTTTTTTCTGATAGCCCGCTTTATACGGACAACCGGTTGGTACGGACATTATGGCATGTCCCCTTGGTGGGTTCCGCTGTATCTTCCCTTTGTTTGATTCGGTCAAAGTTAATTCCTATTGATATTCATTCCAAAATTTCTTACTGCAGAATAAGGCACTGCAAAAACGAGAAGCCCTGGAGATTAGGATGAGCTTTTTAGTGCTTGAGCAAATGGCGGAAATTTTTACACATTGCGAAGAAGAAAAAGCCAGTACTTAGTACTGCCTGAAAACTAGCAAGGACAGCAAAAACAAAACTCCACAGATCACAAAAGTGCAATTTGAAGAATATCTGATAAACTAAACATCACTTTAAAGAATTAAATCGTCCCAGCTGTATTTACCGAGGAACAGACAAATGAAGATGGAAACTTAAGAGGCCCTGCCAGAGAGGGGGTCCCATGTCGCTCGTCTGAAATTTTAAACCTTCTCGTGTCGGTGTTTTTAAATGCTTCATGTCGCTGTCGAAAATTGCACGAAAATTCTTTGTCTTTGTCGGAATTTTAGAAAAGGGGATATAGCGCGTTGTGAAGAAACCGTTACAGTTCTGCAATTTCTCAGTTAACATTGCATGTCGCGTCTCACATTGCCATTCACAATTGAGTGATCCACGTTCAACATTTTAAGACTAAAGGTGGATTTCCAGTGCCACGTAGGCTATATGAAAGGCAAGGCATAAACGTAAAAGTTGAACCTCGCTCAACACGGTTACGCATAATCCGTGTAAAGTTTGCTTATCATTTTCGCATAAATTATGACCTAAATTTGGAAACCGCTGAATTTCTCGAATTGGGTCTTTGCGATTTTGGTGAAACTCTGTTCAGCGCAAGGCACTAATGCGCACTATGTGTAGCCGAGAGATTTTCACGAAAAAATGCCGGGAACAGCAGATTTTCGACTCAGACCTCAAAGGGGCGTGGCATTATAACCACGTGACATTTACTCCGATCGCCAAAAATTTTATGTTATATTGTAGATTGATCTATATGTTATCCATTCTATGTGCTATACTTACGATAAAAGTAAAGGTGGGGATACCAGAGAGCTTCAAAGTAGGATGGTACCCCCTCAAAAAAACTGGGTCGAGTCACCTTAAACACCAGTGTTTCCAAACTATGATTTGAGACAAACCGCCAGGGAATTGCCGGCTCCAAAACTGCCGCCCACGATGCCTGCCCACAATCCGCTATCCGCTATCAAAGGCAGTTCAGCCAACTAATTGTAAGATCTATGTCCTTCAAAAATGGTCAAGTCGAAGGCTCTACTTGGTTACTTTTCTTTAAAACCACCTGACCGCAAGTCTTCTAAACTCTTTCTTTATGTCTCTTTTGAAAAAGGCATAAGCCAGCGGGTTAATGGCCGAGTTTAAAACCAAGACAGGGATTTTGTAGTTTTCGTCATTACATTTTGATGAGGATAGTATTAGAAAACTACAACGTAGATACAGACCATAGCAAACAAGAAACACTCCTATCACAAGACCCATCATTATTACTGCAGACCTCTCGTGGTGGAGTTTAAACGACACCTGATGGTTAAAATGTAACTGTTTTGCTAAGGTGCGTGCTGACTGATCATGCCTGCATACATGAAATATCATTGTCACAAAGCAGAGTATTAACACAACACATGGAATAAACTCCAAAATTATTGTCAGCCAAATAAAAGGGACAGGTATTGTTTTGAAATAAAACATAAAAAGGATAAACCTTGGCACATTATAACTAGCTGGCAGAACCCAAGCGAAGAAAATAACTTGAATAAGTCGACGACGAGTCATCAAAGTAATGTATTTAAGAGGATGGACGATGGCAATTAAACGATCCAGTACTAAGACGCATAAGTTTGCAACAGACGTGTTACTAAACAACAACCTTATAAAATTCACCCAAGATAGCAAATGATGGTCATGAGTGTGAGGCCAGTGGCAGGTGTTTGTAATGTCGCAGAAAAACAGAGAAGGAATAACGCTCAAACCAACGAAGAAATCCGCCACGGCGAGTGAAACAAGAAACGCGTTGGGTTTGGTGCGGAGATTTCGTCTGCTGCAAACGAGAAAGATTGTAAATCCATTTCCAATGATGGTCAAAAATGAAAGAACCCAGCGAAGAATCCAAAACCAGGTCTCTATCTTAGCAGTTAAAGGACGTTCCTCTTAACTAGCTTTAACTAAAGATTATAACTAGCATCCCTGCTTAAATAACAGGGTCACATTAAATACGACTTGTCTGTATTTCAATGTAATAACAGTCCTTATTAACGCCATAAAAATATGCATCGGACTAAGCTATAACAATTGATTTGCACCAAAAAGAAAAATAACTACCTAATTTTTTTGTGTGTGTTAATAATAAAAGAAAATGCATGATTCTAAACAAAGAAAACAGGTGCAAAATGTTCTAGTGAATTCTCGTTTTGTTAAATATACCGTTCCAGCTTTGAACAGCTCGTCTACTCTTTCGGGGTTGGGCTGCCTAATCATTATGATCATTCGTTTGAGAGGAGCGAATTGAACTATGATAAATTTTTATAGCTGTATCGGCAGTAAAACGTGCATTTTTTTCTTTCTCCTTGACCGAGTCAAAGCTAGTTATTTTACACCTCATGCCAGCAGAGTGACGTTCTGACAATTTTTTTTAGTTATGCTGGTTCTCTTCACCTGATCTTGACCAATGAACAGGCCAGGGCAACTGTCATTTTACATATAAGACCATTTACACAATAATTATACTGATGAAACTGATAGTGGCTTCTGTGAGCCGGCAATCAATCGACGGTGCTATATCATCAGTAATTTTTGGTTGAATTTTAATTATGGAACGCCATAAATTTAAGTCTTAATAAAAAAGGATCCATCAACCACGATTCAATACCAGTAAAAACGCAACAAGCAGTTGTTATGTTGACTTTCTAAGTGTAAATGACAAATTTTGGTAAGAGATTAAACATTTACGGCTGTTTGACTTTTATTACGACTAACAGTTAAACGTTTCCACCTGACGGCTGAAATTTGTGACTGTTTTACGGCTAACGGTTGATCCCGTCGAGACCCTCCTAAAAGCAGCAGCGTGAATTAACCTGCCCTGCTTTCCATTTGGTCAGGGTTAAAGCCTATTGTTATTCCTTCAAAAAATTCTTTTTCTGCAGAAAAAGGCCATGCAATCGAGAGGCCCTGGGGACTACCGTGTGTCACAAAATTTGGGGTGGTTCTAATCTTTTGCGTTTTTGCGATTTTTCCAGCGGTCCGCAAAAATAAGTTCCCGCAAACATCGTTCCCGCAAAAATTTTCTCCAGCGTAAATATTCTCTAACTTAAATTCGCTACGCAAAAAACAGTACTAAGAAATCGTGCTTGTTCAATTACAACTTGCCTCTTTCTTTCAGAAACAAAACGGTATACAATGAATCACTGGTATTACATAGGGTCCGCATACGGTAATATTGTTTGAAAATATGTATTTCTATTGCACGTACTTAACAAAAACGAAAATAATATCAATGCTGGGTCCCCCTCCAACCAGCACCAGTACAAGCACCATCCCAGCAAGAAAAACCAATCTGTCTTAATCGCAAAAATTAGTTCCCACAAAACACAAAAAATCACCAATCCGCAAAAATATAAACTCCCGCAAAAATTTCGTGCCACATGGTAGGTTAAACTTTTTTGCGCCAGAGAAAATGGCGGAAAATTTGACAAGAAAAAATAGTCGGAAGAGATTAAGCAACAATGACCTCAACCACGTTTTGGCGTCCAGCGGATTTAGGAAAACATAAGGGTTTGGGTGAGGTGTTCAGTCTCACGCGCTCATGAAACCTGGTCTCGGTCGTTCTGAGGGACCGGTCATTATTTACCGCCTGGGAGAAGGGGGGGGCGAAGGATTTTTGTTGCAACAACGGAGCACTTACGTGATCCCCCCTTAAAGCATACAGTGTGGATTTTGATCCCCCCACATTGGCGGTGGAAGATTTCATGATCCCACCTCTTCTATCCCAGCCACCATACAAAGCCAGTGTTACTATATGCAAACAAGTGACATGTATATTAATACTTACGTCTCATGAACGTTGAACAACAACTTCACCTATTTGGTCATCTAATATGAACTGAATTGTCTGTGAAGGGTTACTCTTCTCAAACAAATCGTTGAAAACAAAGTCATTGTCGCTCTCGTCCCCCACATTGTGGAATTCTTCCTCATATTCTTCATCCTCTGATTCCCCGTCACTTTCCCAGTCTTTAGCACCACATGATCTGTCTGTGTTCATAGACTCTTTGATGTGTCGGTAATAATGACATCGAATTGCTTTTACTTTGTCAAGCTTTCGATCAATAGTGATTAGTCCCTGTTCGTTCAGGTAGAAGTCAAGTTCTTTTACCTTTACCTTTTCGATCTTGCCACTCTCAATAAGGGTGTCCCATCTGAAGTCCTTGTATGTCCATTCTACCTCTTGCCTCTTTCGTTTCTCAGCTTCTATTGTTGTAATGTCTTTTCTGATATCAATATCTTTAAGATGATTAATATATGTAATAACATGCCTCCCATCAACATTGTATTTCGAACAGAAGCTCTTGAAGCTCTCGTTTATGACACTGAAGGAATCTTTCTCATACAAGTTCTTCAAACATTTTCTCGGGAGTCATCCGGTGTCCTGCTTGTCGATTCCGTCTGATAGACATCCATGAAATGTCCCCGATTGTTTGGGTCTGGTATAGGTTGCGGAATTCTTTCTGTCTCTGGTCCCCCCCAGCTATCGTTAGAACAGCAAGAACCGAGATTGGAGGTCTCCTCTATGCCGCAGCATCAAGACAGAATTCTATAAAGAGTTCTCCACGGATATAGTTGTCTTCCATAAACGATTCGATCTTTCTGAAGTATATTGCACCAGGGAATTCCATTTTGTTTCTTCCTGATGCGCTCCGATATCTATCAAGATGAGAAGGACTGAAAAAGAACAGTTCATCAGGAGGCTCACTCACTTTACTCTTAATGTATTCTTTAAGAATAGGGGCGTCATCAATCCTCTTGGCAACCTGACCGCATACGTACCAGGCATTTTTCTCCATCCGCGTCTTTTAGTATCGTTCATATGACTGAAGTCACATTCTTTTGATTTCCTCTTCAGAAAGATCTACAAATCTCCTATATTTTTCCCACTCTAGAGTTATCTTCAGGAAGCTCAAGAACAAGTTAAGGCGCTCCAAGAAAAACTTCAAGAAGCCTCAAATAAACTGGCAACAACCCTAATAAGCCTGAAAAGGAAGTTTCCTTCTCAAACTCATTAATTATTCATGAGGGCAACAACCAGTAAATGAAGCATATTTGGGTCACATACATGAACCTTGATACCCAATGTACACTCAGATGAAAATCTTACAGGTTTTGATCTGAGATCAAACATAGTTTTGATCTCAGATCAAACACTTGCATTTTAGTGAGTATTTTTCAATAATTAATACATCGTTAACAACGATTCCAAAAATGACCTGAATATTATTTGATATAATTAATCTTGAGAGCGTCGGATACCTCAAATTATTCCATAAACGGTCTTCGGTGGATATCTCTCCCCCGAATTCTTGGCCACCTCCTTCGCAAACTTGCTAAACCAGTAAATCAAGGTTACTGCATCCATTTCTTCGATGCTTTTTTGCGGCCTTGTGTAAATCATAGCATTTAAATAGTCCTCCTGGAACTAAAACGGGAGCTAGCTATAACCGACCAAGAAATTTGCCATTCGCTAAAAATTGTTACCACCCATTTGTTCCTATATTTGGTCGACGAGGGAATAGCTTTTTCGACTAACTCGCGTTCTTCGTAATAAACCGTTTTCGGCTCCCTAAATCTTGCCTCTCCATCTTCACTCATGGTCAGACACCAACTACACCAAAACAATTAATCATGCATGTTGAAGTAATGTTACCTAAAATGGCAAGATTGCATCGCTACATAAATTATTGTTCTTTCATTTGGGGAGGACAATACAAAAAAATGTATCACTGCATATCTTTTTTATTGTTTCGTTTGAGAAGTCATCTCAAAAACTCGTGCTTCGGGTTCCATCAGGGGTTCCACACACCTCGAAAAAATAAAAGTACTCGGCCTGCAGCCTCGTGCTTTCATCTCTTTCTCGGTGTTTGGAACCCCTGATGAAACCCTCGCACCCGTTTTTGATATATTACATCTCGCATTAGGAAAGATCGACAATGGGCATAAAAAAGAGAACAAAAGAAAGGTGAAAAATTAAAGGAGAAGCGTTACTTTAAAACGGAGGGCATACTTGCTTCTCGAAAAACCCACCTCAAGAGAGGTAACCGCATGGAGAGGTGTTTGATGCAATCAAAACTAACAACAGTTTTACAAGCATCGCAACCATCAATGCTGAGTTAACCGGAAAATTGGTCAGGTGTCTTCATCTTGACCCTCTGCTATGGCTGCTTGAAAAAGGCGTTTTTAATAAAAGCATTACCCGTACCTTGCAGGTAGTAGTAGCCAGTTTAAAAGAAAAAAGCACTGAAGATTCAAGCGCTCGAACGAGGACTCTGCTGATAAATCGGACGAGAAGGATATCCAAGAGTTAGCAGAGGAGGACATCCAAGAGTCAGTGGAGGATCAAGAGTCGGTAATGGGAGGCGTCCAAGAGGCTGCAAAGGAGGGCTGGGGGGACGAAGCAGTGACACTAAACTAATCATTTGTTGATATACCATGTATATATTTCTTACTTCTGTTGTTGTTGTTTGTAATGACGGTGAGCCACCACGTTGATCGAACGTTCTTATTACGGGGATACCTTTCAATGACTCTAATAATAGAATTTCAAACATGGAACTTTGTGGACATTTAAACTATAGAACGTAAACATTTTTTAGCATCACGTTTAATACATAAGCACAACCACTGAACAAGATCATCAAAAAGTAATAAATTGATCCCACAGCTTCAAATAATTTTCTCCTTTTTTCTCCTGGTCCCCCTTTAGTGCCTGTCAATAAGGGCTGACTCCCCCTCTTTCTCTTGAAAACCGTGTGACCCCGCTCCCCCCCCCCCCAAAAAAATAATCCTCCACCCCCCGCAGGCGACAAATAATGACCGGTCCCTTAGTTAATCGGTACCAACTGACTTCCTAAAACATATCAAGAACAGAAAAAATGAAAAGCACCAGCTTCACCGTACACATGTAGTAGGCACCTCTTTTTTCAGCGTCAATGGGGTGCCAATGGGTACATTGGTAAAGTCGTTGGTGACTCTTTTCGTCTTTCTTTTTAATTTTTATCGGTACTAAGTTGTTGCTGTTGTTGTTGTTTTTGGAGTGCGTGCGTCTTCCGTCCTTTTGCTCGCTTCGGTCGCCTTTGTTGGCTGCACTGTGGTGTTTCCTTTTTGAAGGTTTTTGCTTGAGTGTGTGTGCGGCTTTGCTTTCTTCTTGAACGTGTCTACCTTTTCGCTGCTTCGCTTGGTCGACTTTGTTGGTTGTACTGTGGTTTTTTTTATCGGGTAGGGTTTGAGTAAGTATGTGTGTATTATTATTGTTATTATTATTATTATTATTATTATTATTATTAATTATTATTAGTAGTACTACGGTACCAGTAAAATTACGGTGTTTGTATGGGGTAAATATACGATCGTAAAATTTGTAGGGAATATTAAATAAAGGTCCATGAAACTAACTCTGCAATTAGTTGTAAGTTGTTGTCCTTAATGCTCAAACGAGATTTCCAGCTGATAAGCTCAAATTCACCCTCCATACAATGTAATTAACAATTGTTCTTTGAAATGGAGGTGAATTCTATAGTGGCTGGTTATTTAACGAGGCGCGAAGCGGCGGGGTAAATATTCCTAAAGCCACTATTCACCGAGATTGAAAAGAATAATTGTTTTAGTATATAGACACGAAGGAAAGCATTAAAAAGTACGATTTCACTGAAGGATCAAATCACGCGAAAGTTTTGCGGGCCACAAGTTTATTAGCCTTGGAATGGGCTATTTAGTGTTACCCTCGTTAAATAAAGGCATAATTATTATTATTATTATTATTATTATTATTATTATTATCTTTGAAGAATTTTCAAACATGGCAGTTCACAAGTTTATCACTTCGCAAACAAAAGGGGAATGGCTTTAATCGGAACCGTTAAAAGTTTGAATTATTTCCTTACCTGAGAAGAAAAGTAGAGCTTTGTTGTTTTCTGTTGACTTGCCAAGTTTATAGCCAATTTGTTTACTAAGGGCTGTCATCACAGCAACTTAATTAAAAAGCGTTTTTTTCATTCTTCAAAATATTTTTCACCGGGGAAAAGAACTGAGAGACATGAGTTTGAATTGCCATTATCTGGTGATGTTCAAGTCTCCGCGGGATAGCAGTCAAATCAGTCACTTGGCGAAACAAATGTTTCCCGGTCATGTCAAACACATGCAAGAAGCGTTTCAGGATACGACAAAACGCCCTTATAGCTACCTGTTATGCGACCTCAAACCGGAAACGCCTACCGACTTCCGGTTGCGCACAAACATTTTCCCTGGGGAGACTCAGCTCGCCTATGTCAGAAAGGTATAAAAAAGCTCCATCGTAGTGATTGATATCAGTTGAGTATGGCCCAGCGACTAAGAAAGAACCACGATTTTCTTGAGCTCCTCGTCAAGTGTACCCCAGCTCAACGTAAAGCAATTTTGGAAGCAGCCGACGACGCTTTAGTAAGAACCATTTGTGAGTGTGTATTCAACGTACTTAAAGAAACAGTCCCTGTCAGTACAGTAAACCGGCAAAGAGAAAACTTCTTAAGCACAAGAAAGCCTTGACTGCTCTAGCTGAAAAGAGTACCCCGCTGAACAAGAAAAAGCAATCTTGGTACAACATGGAGGAAACTTTTTAAGTGTTTTGCTACCTCCCGTTCTTCGGGTGTTGAGCTCGCTTCTTACTTAAGATGAATCACACAAGACGCATGGTTCTCGTTCCTGAGAACACTCTGGAATGATTGCAGCAGCGCCAGCAGATATTAACACCACCTGTAACACAAACTCTGAAAAATCTGGATAGGCAAATGGGGGATATTTTAGAAAGTAAACAGCTTGATGATGAGGAAAAGGCGAAGCTTTACAATCAGTTGTTGCAACTGTACTTGACTTATTACGATGAGCGGAAAGGCCAGCCTCTCCATGTGAAGTTAACGACCTCTAAAACAACAGAAATCCGCAAACCAGTTAAGAACGCAGAATCTACAGAAGAAGCTTCTCCAGATAATTCTCTTCCAACGGCAGTAGAGCAAGAGGTCATGAAAAGTGTACCCAAAATTTACAAAGCTGGGGCTAGACAGTTATTGGATAAAATTAAAAAACACCAGGATGAGTTACATTGGAATGATACAGGAGAGCTGTTGTATGTAAACAAACCAATCCCAGGTTCTCAAGTGGTGGACCAACGACACATTGCGTCACCGAAAAGGATTTGAGCCAGTGGGGTCCGTGTTTGCGAGGGGCCTGGCGCGAATGAATGTCCCCGAAAACTTGGTTCGTAATCCCCAACTTCAGACCCTAGTCAATAACCCCGCTGAAATCGAGCACCGTGAAACGCTGGTAAACTCCCACCTTTTTGTTTGGCTTGATTAACATAGTACTGTTCGCACAACTTGTGAGATGATTTGGAGTGTGGAGTTTTTTCATCTTAAAAGTACTGAGTTGCACTTTGACGAAAATGAAGTGTTAACAGCACTCTCCCATACTCAAATGGTACAGACTCCCCTGTGTCTGTCTTTATATCGACTTCGACGGTTTCAAATTGCTTTCTGCTGACAGGTAAATATTGGGGGCGCAAAAATGATTTACTGACTCGCTCCCCCACCTTTCCTTCTACAGGAACAATTCGAAGCAAAGGTACCAATGCATCTCCAACACATTGTGACTGAATAAGATCACAGTAAATGAAAAGGTCGGGAAAGCCATACTCTTTCAGCGGTAAAGGAATTACAAATAATTTCTTCTGGTGAAAATCCCAGCAGGTATCCAATGTTACCAAAAAAAGTTCTACGTTATTTTGTAGGTAAACAGTCACCTTTCTAGTGAACGTATCGTAGGAAAATGTTACATCGTTATTGAAACGCTTTACAGTCTCGATCAGCCCTTTCACCTTCAATGGAAGAATAATGGCCCGGTGGTATAATTAGGGCCTCCCATACTCCGGACAATTCTTGGTTCCGAAGGAAGAATCGATCACCAAAATTTCCTTGGACATTATTCCAGCTGTGAGGATAATGAATTTCTGTTAACGCTACTTCCCAGTTCTCCGTCAAGCTAACGGTTTGAGGTAAACCAACATGGTACTCCGTTAAAGTGTTGTTGGGAAACGTATCAAGGCTGCTATTGGAAGATGCAGGTAAAACTGTGTTACCTCCATCGTTTCGTGTGTTTAAATGAACATTTATTCCTGGCGTTCTTAATTTATAACTATACACAACAACATTTGTTTTCAGTTAAAATAACCCTTTTATTGGCTTCACACAAAATGTCACAGCTTTGAGATATTTCTTTCTGCTATCCAGCTATTAAACTTGTCTGGGTACCCGTTCCATTTTACAAAGTATTCAACTATTCCTTTACGCTTTCGCTTGCGCAAAATCTTTTCAACGCGGTACACATCATCGTTCTTAATTATTTTCTGTAATTCGGGTTCATAAAACGTTCCATCTAAGATTTCACCTGCATCCTCCTTTAGTTTGTAAACGGGTACTTGACGCGCCATTCGTTTGTATACAGTAAACATTTCGTCCGTGAAATTAGGCAGGTAAGATTTTTCAAACATTCGCTTCACTTTGCTGATCCTAACACGATCTCCCACTTGAAATTTAAAACGCACACGCTTTCCAACGCTATTACCATATAAAGTATCCCACACTTTCGCTTTAGTCACCTCACTCGGTTTCATTTTAATACTTCGGTGGTAAGTGTTATTGTAAGAGGATACTAATTGGGGTAGTACATTGATATAGGTGAGAGTGTTTTTAGCTGTGAAATATTTGTACATCTTATTTTTAAATGTTCGGTTAAAACGCTCAACCACTGAGGCCTTGAGCCCAGAGTTTACAGTAAAAAAGTCACTGTTGTTGTCACGCAGATAAGTCTGAAACACGCGATTTAGAAACTCTGTTCCTTGATCCGTTTGCTGGGTTTGCTGGGTTTGCGACCAGTAGAAAGGATCTTTTGAAAGGCTTTGACCAGTTCTTGACCTTGTTTTCACTTCAAAGGCAGCACCCAGGCATACTTGCTGAAGATATCTATACAAGTCAGTAAGTATTTATAGCCCTTGTTGTAGCGGCTGAGATTTTGAAGATCGACCAAGTCCGCTTGAAACTGGGCATTTATTCCAGGAACGATGGCTCGGCTTCTCTTGTAGCGTCTTCGCACGGGTTTGTGAAGAGTATAAACATCCTGCTGACTCAACCAATCTCGGACTTGTTTACGCGATATCCTGTTCTTTCCTTTCTCTTTGACTGCTCTGTAAACAGCATCTAAACCACCGAAACTTCCGAGTTTTGTACAACCACTTTACCACCGCAGCAAGCTAATACACAACGTATGCGATTGCAAATGTGTTCAAAGCCAATAGTGGATGATGGCGGACAGCAACCCACCACTAGTGTTTACCTGAACGGTAAAAGATGTAATGACCTCTCTCTCCCTGGTGCTCCTTTATATAGCTACTGTCGAATCTGGGTGAGTAGTAATAGGGGCTACTATAGGTACTAACCAATCAGAGCGCAGCAAAGTTTCTCTCGACCAATCAGCATCGCGCATTTGGCCCATGTGACTTATGTGACGTCACAATGCCCATATATGGTCATAAAATTCACGTGACCCCATAGGAATAAAGAACACGCACACACAAGAGTTGAATTCACATTCTTGGCATAGTTTTAATGAACCGCGTGAAGCCCTGGTGACAAGCGGGACGTGTGTGACACCCTAGTGATATCACGCCCATTTTTTTACATTAATGCACGAAATCAAAAAAAGGTGTTTGCTTCATGGCAGAAGAAGTCATATGCCCGGGATGAGGCCATTTGATGTAGTGGTTGAAACCTGTGTATGACCATGGTTTGAGGAAAGGGAATTTGATCGTGGCCAAAGTGACTGAAACGAATTGAATAGAGGAATGGTTAGATCCAAGAAGCAAACTGGATGAGAAACAGTCGACCATTGGCACGCACAAGGCGATGGTTTAGAGTCCAATGATTGACTAGAAGATAAAAAACAGACCTCGATTACAAGTGGGACGTGTGTGACACCCTGGTGGTGTCACGCCCTTGAACATGTTTGTTTTACAAATGACATATTAATAAAAAGTCATAATCTTGGTTTGAGTATCTAGGAACCAATGACATACTGATGAAACAAAAAAATCAATGTCTGAGTTTGAACAAATGGAGAAAACTAGACCATCCTTGATGATTGACAATGCAAAGTTTATGAGGGATAGGCCAGCTTCGAAAAATCATAAGATCTTGAATGAGCCAATGAGAATCTAACGAAGAACGATAGAAAGTTGATGAGGGATGGGCCATCCTCGAAAAATCATAGCAAAGTCAATGATCCAATGGGATTCTAATGAAAAAAATAATAATTTGAACGAATGGAGTACGTTGGTCCTTCTTTGAGGATAGACGAAACAAAGTCTATGAGGATTTTAAGGATCTCATCATCTAGCATCCAATGAGAATCTAAATGAAAAAAAAAAAAAAATGAGAATGAACATCCAGCAGGGGTGGCGCCACCATGCAGACCTCCCCCTGCCGGGTGTTCAGAATTCCCATCCTGTACTGTCTAAGATGTGACATCCCCAACAGGGTTCATGGAGGGTGTTCACGTGACGTGAATACGTCCAACAGCGTTTGCACACAAAATACAACTGCTTCATCAGATAAGCATGGTAATATCTGGTGTGATTCTCTATTATCTGGGCAGTGGCTGAAAAAGGGAAGGGATATAAATGGCACGTATGACAAAACGAGTGTCTGAAACGAAAAACAACGGATGGGTGTTAATCACGGGGTGGATAGCCCATCCCTTGCATCAACTCACACCAATAACAGGGCACATCTAAATCGCGCACACGACGAAAATTTAAAAAACAACGACAACAGAGTAATTTGAGGGGTCTTGGATAAGGTGGAAGGAAGACCCCTTTTCCAGTGTACCATTGCGTGACACTGCTACAAAAACACCAGGCCGCGGAAGTACCATGAACC